GTCTTTTGAAACTCTAAAACATTGAAAACACTTTAAAAAGCTTTGAAAACAGATTTAAAACACCTGCATAAGATACAATTATGATCCATAAAAGTGGTCAAAATACGGTGTTATCAATACCAAGGATTCAATTATCACCAAACGATACCATGCATCCATTCACATTGCGGAGACGCCAATTCCCGATCAGAATCTGTTATGCCATGACCATTAATAAGATCCAAGGCCAAAGTCTCAAACAAGTTGCCCTCTATCTACCAAAAGGAGTGTTCAGCCATGGCCAATTGTATGTCGCACTATCCAGAGTGACTTCACCTGGGGGCCTGAAAATCCTGGATGAGACATCGGAAGCAAGCACTGAAGGCGTCACAAATATTGTCTACAAAGAGATATTCAACAATTTTCGAAACACATAAGGTACTTAATAGAAATATTCACTCGCAGATTCAGTAAATTAATACTCCAAGGTTACATATGGGAATTGCACAAATAACTACAACTTCAACTCTTCACTCTTGCAATCACAGGTTTTAACAGAGTAGCATTGCGTTAATATTTGAGGGGGCAAATTAGAGATGAAGATCAGGAAAACTGTTTCACACATATGCAATAGATACGTGTTATATATACGGCGAGAACTTTTCAAAAGGATTTACAGTTACACTGTTCTACTAAACCCGGTTTAACTTTTTTAATAAAACGCTAAGCTGTCATAGACCCTCGGTTTGAAGTGTTTATGTTAGACAATTAATACCCAAAAGGGGCTAACAAAGGAGGGAGGCCCAAGCTGCTAAGACATACACTAACAAGAACACATTATAGAAGACGATCCACATTAGGAACACACAACAAATTTAGACACAAAAAGTGTTGAAGGTATATAACTAGATCTCTAAAGAAAGTGTAAGAACCAACAGACACAGATGAGTAACGGTCACACACACTAAAGAGATAGAAATAAAGAGCCCCTGTCATTATAATGAGAATTTAAAGCTAATAAATTGGTAATGAATACTATGTAACATCACTACCCAAAGCAACTATATAAAGCTGGCCAGGTACGGCCACATCAATCATTCCAACCTAAAATTTCCAAATATGCAGAAGATAAAAATACTCTGTCCGCTTGAAGCTCTACCAAATGTCTTACTTACATAAATTATCTCCCGTATAGCCTCTTCCTCACGCCTCGACGTCCGCAATGTCATGAAATCCTCACCTGAGCTAGCAAAACATGCAAAAGACAACCACGTCATCAAGAAACTCAACTTGCAAGCATTTGCAGGCCGCCCATTGTAGGCACTTAAAAACTATGAAGCACTCATGCAAAGATGCCTTTTAAATGGAAACGTGGAAGCACACTATGTCCAAGGCATCTTGGAATACTTTCAGCACAACAACCCGACAGTTGGACTAAAGCATTTGAAGACAGCAGCTGATGGTTCCTACGAGAATGGTATTTACCTATATGGTATTCTAATGTTATGCAGGGGTGAAATGGATGAAGTCAAAGCATACCTGGACAAGCTACAGTGGCAAAAAGACAAGAAAAGGGCAGACAAATGCTGGAGAAGCATCCAAACATCTCTTCAAGGGATTCCTGTCATTTAGAAAAGACGCTACCGCAACACTTTAAGGAACAACAAGCCACCAACAGAATGCCACCTCAATGACATGGATAACAGATGCAAGAAATGCTACTACTACAAGCAAATGAGGAAATTTATTAGCATTAGGACTCTGTTGAGCTATAGCTGAAATAGCCACACCTCTGCCTAACTCCCATTATCATTTAAATGTTTCTAATGCTTCAAATAATGTGTAGCTTCTAAAGTGTATTCACATGTGGTTTAAATTTAAGTATTTGAATAAAATAACAAACACATATTCACAGTTGTTTATCGGAGGTATGTTGTACAATTTTGTTCACTATAGTGCTGTCACTGAGGCAAACAAAAAGCAGACATCATACAGAGACGGTAATCGGTTAAAAAAAACAAACATAAAACACGTATATGACATCTTTAAAAATATATACGTCAAGGTAGCGATGAGACGAAGTCCTAAACTGGGTGGAAAACAACACATTTCGGGAGAGATCCAGTTCTCAAATATGGAATTCAATGTTTGAATAGAACTCAAGTTAGTCCCCAACTGCTTAAACAAAACCCGGTTTTTGGTAAACCATAAACCGGGTTTAGGAAACTAATCAGGCCTGAAATTTAAATAGTGGAATACATCAATAAACCCAACGTACATATTACCAATACAGCTGTTACAAAAGATACCAAATATTTCCAGCGGAAACGGTAAAAACATAATAATGGGAAATGAATGACCAGCATACAACATTACGAGCATTAAATCTCATTGAATACAGAATTAATGCCAAATGCAAACCCAAGACATAACAAGAACACAAGTATATAAACCCCTAAAACTACGTTAAAACCATTCAAGAAGACCAGAGAAGAGGAGAGGGAAAAATGACAAACAATGCACCACTATCACCCATTGAGAAACTCTCAAATGACATCCTAGGAGAGATCATCTCCAGAGTTGCTCAGTTCTCCCGCACAGGGGTGCGCAATACCATGGAAGCGTCTCCAGTGCTAGCAAAGGCAGCTATTGATTTACCGTGTTTACAAAAAAATGAATCTGAAACCACTAGCAGTGCAGCCATTGCAAGCATTGAACAAATACAACCAATTGATGGAGAGATGTCTACTCAATGGAAATGCGGAGGCCCACTACATCAAAGGAATACAGGAGTATTTCCACCGCAACAACACAAATATAGGGCTTCAACATCTAAAATCAACAGCTCAAGGCTCTTATAAAAAAAATATGTATCTATATGGTATTATCATGTTATGCAGAGGAGAAACAGAGGAGGGGAAAGCATACTTGGACAAACTCGGGTGCAAAAAGAACAGAGTCAAAGCAGCTAAATGTTGGAGATTTAACAAACGATCTTTGCATGGAATACGGGTGGTCAGGAAAAGACGGTACATGACAACACTGAGAGACAACAGACCAATTTTATGCAACCTAAACGACCTGTCCACAGCGTGCAACAACTGCTACTACTATAAGCAGATGGTCAGATTTGTATATTTCATTTGAATTCGCCTAGATGCTTACGTATTTCATAGGCTGCGGTATGCCGCTCATTTTTCAATAATAAAATTCAGACTGAGATCTTTCCAAAATTTCTAATCACCGCATTACAAACTAATCAACAACACAATCAAAAGAACCTACGAGTTTAAAAGTCTACACAAACGGAAAACAAAATAGCTAGCCAAAGGGGATTTGCAAAAAAGTCTAAGATTATGGGGTTTTGCAACCATTTATGGATGATGCTGTGTAGATTGGGGAAGTTATTCTCGGGTTTAGCACAAATCACAAAGAAAATTGAATTGAAGAGAAATAGAACTGACCCAAAATCCCCAGAAGATTGTGCGGAAACGACACCCGAATGACATCACAAGGCAGCGCAATCGACAATCAAGAGGAGATTCTTCTGGAGAACTCAGTGACAACTACGACGACGCCCACCAGGGAATTGGGAAAACTGATAGCACGAAAGCCACCAATAGATGTTTCTGAGATCACGGAGGAAAGGAGGGGCGAAATCCAGTTCCAATTTCGTTCTCATCGGAAGACGACGACCACGACCACTCGAGAAGCAAGACAGGAATTAAAAATGTGGGCTTCGAAAAAGCTTACCAGGCCCAAACAAATAAAGGGGTGTAGTTTATAACTCGGGTCCTGTAATAAAAGAACATATGTAATTAGCCCAAAACAAAAACAAGTGACACACACATGCCCATTAAAAGCCCAGCGCAAGAGCATCTTTGAGAAATTACATGACGAAACACAAATCAATAATAACAAATCCTAATGACTCACAAACTGAAACAAAAAAGTCAGCCCCAAATTATTCAGTCATCAGCATTAATGAAAAAATTGAAGGCAAACAATAAAGAGCTAACGGCTAATTCAAAAACAAAGACCAATATTTGAAAGGAAAATATGTTATAAAAACCAAATGGTAGAATACAAAAATCATAATAATAAAATAGATTCCATGGAAGAGCAGCAAAACATAACATACTCTTTCTCCTACCAAACATGTCTATCTCAGTCCACCACAGCCACCACTCTCCACCTAATTATCAAAAGGCCACACACCGATCAAAGTGATATCGTCATAGATATACCGTACTCAAGGAACGGGATCACCACGCCACATGAGACCTTGAGAAGAAACATTGAACATCTTCTTACATATCATGAAATTGAAGAAGCAACAGCGAGAAGAAAACAACTTCCTACTTCCTTCAATTCGTCACCGCTGTGCAAATATCTATACAAACAGAAACAGGTAAAAGCATTGACTCTTTTTTTTCAAATTACAGATAAAAATTTCCACACAAGATCAAGGATGGACATAGACATTCTCATAGCCAATCTCGCCGCAGCTAAAAGGTTTCCAAACCCTGAGGAGGAAAATGATGACTGCTCAATCTGTCTACAAACATTCAAGGATCGAGAAGATCTCAACAAACTATCATGTCAACACAGTTTCTACCATCAATGTATCGCTACTTGGCTTTACACCCAAAAAAATTGCCCTATATGTAGGGCATTAGTTTTTTAAATTTATGTTCCAAACAATGAACAACTACATGTATCTTCATTGTTTCAGAATAAAATAATTTAATTGACAAATTAATCATTATCCATTGATTTAAAATTTTAAAGTTAAACTGTAGCCCCGCGCGAAGCGCAGGATAGCCCCTAGTTTACAATAAAACATTGAAGAATACCAATGTATGGTAACAGATAAAGAGAAAATTAAATATATAGCAATGATATTTTATATATTAGGTAGGTGATATTTTATATAGCAATGATCTCTTATAAGAGTTCTGGATCACTGAAGACGCAAACAAATTCTCTAGGACTGTCTGCAGTATGCTTCACTAAAGCACATGCTGGTGCGTTTTATTCGAAGTGATATAGGAGATGAGCAAGACGCCTCTTTCTGGTTTAACTCCTGGATTGAGTTCGGCCCCATAATCTCGTATTTTGGTCACTCTGGTCCGAGGCAGTTGCGGATCCCACTGGATGCTAAGGTTATTCAAGCCACTTCCATTGGAGAATGGAGACTTCTTGCAGCGCGATCCGATCAGGCTCAGAATCTGCAGATTATCCTTACCTCTATGACATCTCCTCAGGTGTCTAAAGGAACTGATGTATTCATCTGGCAGAATGCAGCCAGAACCTATGCGCCTAGTTTTTCATCCAAAGCTACTTGGGAGCAGCAACGTGCCCATGTGCCGATTGTTTTCTGGCATAAGCTGATTTGGTTTAAAGAAGCAATCCCTAGATGCTCCTTTATCACTTGGTTGGTCATGTTAAAAAGGCTTCCAACCGAACACAGGCTTCGTAGCTGGGGTCTAAATGTTGCCGGTCAGTGTGTTCTATGCTCTTCGGGCTTAGAGACACATGACCATTAGTTTTTGTGATAACACCTGATTTTTTACCACTTTTATGGATCACTTTCAATATCTTATGCAGGTGTTTTCACTCAGTTTTAAAGGTTTTATAAGTTTTTTTCATGTTTTAGAGTTTTAAAAGGCATTTCAGGAAATTTGGAGCTTTGAAGTGCATTTTGGAGCAAAAGTACATTTTTGGATAAATTCAGGCCGTCAGAAGTTTGGAAACCAAAGAAGATCTTTTCACCGTCTGATCATCGCGAAATTTGGAGACATTATATAGGAGATAACCAGATTTTCAACACACTTAGAATCAAAGCAATCCAACGGTTAGATCTCCCGATATCATCAATGCACTGAAGGTCGATCAACACAAGTCCAGTCAAGGACATGAGCCTTCACCTGCGGCCAGGCTTGTTCCCACCGTGGCTCAAGAGGTTTCACCCCCGGTGGACCTGTGTCCAAACCTCAGGATCCCAACTAAGGCTCAAGATACTTCCTGCACCCATTTTACAAGTCCTAGACGCCCAGACTTGGAGAAACACTACAAATACTAATTTTTATGTCTTTTGTGAGAGAGCCTCTTTCTTCTCTTTGAAAGAGAACTCATTTGTAGTTTTAGGTTTTATTTTTATGCATTTTTTGAAGCTTTTCATTGCCACTCTGTCTTCAATAAGAGAATTTTTTTTGCAACCTTTGTTTCTTTTCTTTTCTTCTTTCTAAGTTCTAAACCGATGATGATGTCTATCTCAGCCATGTCTGAGTAGTCACCTAGTTGGGTGAAGGGGAAATCCAAAGGGATTCCATGTTCGAATGACATCTACGTTTTTAGGTAAAAGGATTTTGACTTTTACATGATTTTCTCATTCATCCAAATCTCAAAGCAGTAATTCTGGATTGATCACCCAGAATCTGATCCTAAGTTTAATCCGAGCCACGAGAGTGTTGTATCTGGATTGGCTGAACTGGATCTTATGCACGTAACCGTCGTAGGAGACGAAATCTACCTACGGAGGATACGTAAGCCGAGATGGATTCCGATCCGCAATGCATGATCTTGTTCAGGCATGAGAGCGAGAGTTAGTTTCCATGAATGAGTGATTAGATGATTAGGGTGACGCGAGTTGGCTAATCTTACAAGTGTCTATCCTAGTTTCAGACACTTGCCTAAATTCCTTGTGTTTTAGAACATGAACCCTAAAGATGAACCTTGAACCCAGCGCCGTTTTTCTTTTTTTTTTTCAACCAATTTTTATTTCCAGCCTTATAATTCTCTGCTTAATTAGATTAAGTGACAAACCAAAACCCATTTTATTAGATTAGGTCTAAAATTGTTTTTAGCATCTGTTAGAAGTCCTCAACACAGAAATCTCTGTGGATTCGATCCCTAAGTACTACTGCGTTTGCTGTGCACTTGCAGCTTGTCTAGGGTAAAACTTATGTTGCCCACTACACCCATATCATTTTGACAGCTCATTTGTTGCGGACATTTGGTCTTTCTTCAGGGATACTTCTTGGTCAAATCTTTCCTCGAGTTGTCAGGCATATGTGGTCTGGTTTTTCAGCAACCAGAATGTCCACTCTTTGCAAATGAAATCCATCTTCAAGCTTCTTTGCCAAATCATCGTGTATCAGATTTGGAAAGAACAAAATGCTAATATCTTCCGCGGGGTGTCATCTTCTTCCGTTGTGATCCATCGGTCAGTGGACAGAATCATGCGAGATCGCCTGCTTTGCTTCCCTGCCTCATCTGCCTCTTCCCCTTCTCTACTCGAGCTCTATTTCCAGGATCTAGGCTCTCATGTTGTATTTTGTCTCTCTTACCCTATATCTTGTTACGCTACACTTTCTTTGTAATAAGTCGCTTGCGACAACAATGTAAAACAGAAAATTTGGTATGAATCTTAGCTTTTTATCAAAAAAAAAATTAGATAGGTCATGTCAAATAAATAATTCTTCTCGGTTTTGCAAATGGTCAACAATTGATATTTACCCCAATAACTCTAAAACATTGCAGATTTAATTTCAACACTACAAACTCAAGTGAAGCTTTATTTCAACAACGATGAGCTGTCATTGACAACAACATTGAAACAATAAACAAAACAAATTCTAAATTAGATATACGTTGAGTAACTAGATTATAGGGGAGATGCATATATTAAAGTGACGAAGAAGTGAGGAGGTTACCTTGAAATCAAAAGGATAAGATAATACTCTACTTAATGGTGATTAGGTCAAATACGTTTTTTGTTTTTATTGTTCCTTTTTTGGAAAATAACAAGTTTTACATATTTTTATACGGGGACACCAATTTTAACTGAAACGTCTCCGAGATTTAAGCTTTTCTTTTGGGTTTAAAGCTTCATTGAAGATCTTGTGCTTGGAGATGCCATTAAGAGTGCATATATAAACTAAGTAGAAGACAATTAAAATCATTTCACTTTTCTTTTTCTTCTTGACAGGCCTTCGGTCTGTAAATCCTCTTCCTATATAATAGATATTTGAATACATATTACCCGAAAGACAAACAAAGACACTCTAATCCACCTATCAGGTGGGCTAAGGCAAGACCCCTAACTTATGCTATGCCACTCGGTAGGGGATTTCACGTATTGCCCGCTCTTTTGCCCACATAAACCCTAGAAAAAATTACACCTCAGAATAATAACTCTGTCTCACTATCTACATTGTCCACACAAATCTTCCCCCCCCCCCCACCGAAGAATTTTTCCTAGTCACTTGCTACAAATCTACTCCACAAACGACTATACCATGGCGATTTGACATCGTCTTACCCAGTACATTCTGCATCATTTTCTTCCACGGTACTGAAAAAGGTTTGATCCGAGCAGTCTAAGGTTGCCCCACATGTGATATTGTAGGACTGACATACCCGTAATCTATCGTCTCCATTACTATCACACTTTTGGATTGATATCTGGTTTAGAGGGATTATAAAAACAAAATGTCTTGCCTCATCTATAATCATGGGGGAAAACTTAGAAAAAATATATAAATTCTAACAGATTGCTGCTTACCCAACAAGCTAGTCTTTTCGCTGCTTCATCACAATATTTGTTACCGAATATGTTAAATAACTTCTGAGCCCCACCCGGAAACAGCCATGTAGTTTGGCATGACCACAGTTTCCTCAAGCTGCTGGAGTATGCTAGGCTCTCTTGGGGCACAATGTTGCCCTGATAAGTCTCTCTCCAACACATCCTTGCACACTAATAAACTCGTAACTAGTTTAGAGCTGTTTTCACATGTGTAGCCAGCATAATTCAGAGCAACGGAATTTGCAAACCCCATTATCACACACTCCTCCATGTAGGCTGCATTGTTTGTCACACACGACTGTATATTTAAAAAAAATCTTGTTGTTGGATATAATATTGAAAAATATTTTCTTTACATCAACTATAGAAATATGGATATTTACCGGTGGAACAGTCAATTCCAGTAAATCCATTTTCGCAGAAGCATACACGGTGAACTGTTCATTTTCCATGTCCATTGCAATTATTAAGGCAAGAACCTGCATGGTGAAAAACATAACTTGTAAGTTCAGATTTTAGAGATAAATATGAGACTTTGACATGTACAACAAGTTGATGTAAAGGATACATGACTCTTACAGTTTTTACAGTCATGACCATGATAACCAAGAAGACAACGACTCTTCCCATCAAAACAATCTCCATTAAAGTTACAAGAATTAGGACACTGACCCCGCACAGAAACTACGGGTGAACCGCAGAGTTCATGGTAAGCCGGACAAATTAATTCACCTACAAATCAAAACACTTATGGTTCAAACGATTTCATCACAATATGTATATTCTTCTTTAAAGAAGATAATGAGCATTCTGACCATTAAAACCGGAAAATTGAATCGGTCCACCTGCTTTAGGGCAGAATTTTCATTCTCCCTCCACAACAACCTAAAAGGACATTGTGGATAACAAGGAAAACATTACAACCATAACAGTTTATACCCAAACAAAAACGTTAGGACAAGAAAGAACATGAAGACGGAATACCTCCAACAAATTATTTTTACATCTATGCTGATAACAACCACCCTGTGGCATGGAACCCCGAACAAACCCATTATGCACTAAAGATGAAGCCATACACCTATAGAGAAGCCACTCTTTCATGAGCAATATGCCATGTAGATATTTGCAAAGATACAATGAGAAATTTGACCAGCAATAACCTGGAGTCACTCCCTCTCACTTCACCCAGGAATAACCTGGAGTCACTCCCTCTATTGATATCCGTACAAGACCCATCTGAATAAGCAACAAAATATGTACAATAATCTGCTAAGGAAGACTGACCACCTGCAATATGTTGTGTATGAAATTCATTAAAATATCTTTACCAAACCAGAAATAAATACAGCATTAGATTACTAAATAGCATACTCTGGAGTTACAAAGCTTTCTAGATATTACAACCACGACAATTGCAAATTATATTTTGTGTATCAAATTAGAACACCAAGAAACAACTTAATAATATGGCATATCAGCATGTTGCAATTAGTCAACAGGACTGACCTTTGTTAGCCTGTGGGAAGTAACGAGCCCATTGTGGCAAGTCTCCGTTATAGCTTAGAATTGGGCAGTAACCTTCAGCCTCTCTGTTGTATTTACAACCAGATAGTTGGGTTGTGTTACAATGGTAGACGCAAGGATCTGATTGTCTTGCGGCAACAACTCGAGATCGCCAACATGGAGATCAAAAACTTGCATACTGACAGGAGATCCACGAGATGAACAACCTCTTCGATATTATCGCAGCCTGCAACCCGGTGCTAGATGCCGCTTTGAAGGAGAAGCAAAGACGTAAGCTTGATGAGCAGGAGCGGCAACGGCAGCAATGGCACCGTCTACCGTCAATGCTGACGAAAATATTAGTATTGATGATTTTGTAATTAATTTAAACGTATCCTAATTTTTTTTATTTTCTACTTTTGTAAATATTTTTGAATTTATTTGAATTTTATAATAATATTTTCAAAATTAAATTTACTATTTTAAAAAAATTTAATAATTATTTTTTTAAATCAACGTAACATCATCATAATTTTCCAACCAACGAAGGTTTACATCAACTTTATGTCGATTTGGTTTACGTCGATTTACCGTCGATTATTTATGAGGATTTTACATCGATCTGAAATATATAATTCATTATTTTGGTTTATTAATTATCGGGAAATCGATGTAAATTTACATCGAATTTACATCAGTTTTGTGATGGTGTTATAATCGTCGTAAAATCAACATAAAGGTTGCATCGATTTCACGACGATTTTATCACGTCAAAATTACGTCAAATTTCAGTCGTTGCTAATTTTACGTTGAATTTACGACGATCCTGAGTTTACGACGCTCGATTTACGACGAACAGAAAATCAACGGTAATTCGACGCAAAGGCCTATTTGCGACGATTTTACATCGATTTCCGCCGACGTAAAACTGCTGTTTTTTTTTGTATTGACTTAATTTCATTATCCAGATCTGTATCTAAACTACACGAATATTCGTTTTTATGGATCAGATAGAAGCGGATACTGGATCAGAAGCCATATAATTTCAGCCCTAAAAAATACTACAGTTAAACCTCTATAAATTAATAATGTCGGGACTGCAATATTCTATTAATTTATCGAGTTTAATTTAGTGTATATAGCTTAATATTAACACTAATTTGCACGCGATATCAAAATATTAAAAACGTTGATTTTGCATTTTATTTTGCCAAATCAAATTTCTATAAGCACAAAATTCAAAAGTTTTAAACAAATCATCTTTATGAATTTGCCCTTAACTTTACCTGGCATATTACAAAATATGCCATTAGAAAATATGTAATTCACGAACAAAAAATAATCTCAAAACCAAAAAAGATACGCGTCTTTTTTTTTGACCCGTTTAAAACTTAAAAGGACGCAGATCTTAGCCTTGACCTGATTCTATGATTGACGCTGCAAATTTTCAAACTATAAAATTTACTTGACATTCATATTTATTGCGATAAATCGTAAATGTCACAATAAATATGAATGTCAAGTAAATTTATTTGAAAGAGTACATCTTCGAATGAAATCTCCATAAAATCTACTCATATTCTGTATTACATATAATCGCAAAAAATATTGTTTCCAAATTTAATTAAAACACTATATTCGGAACAGTTGTAATAACATACTTGATATATGTTATTATTCAAATAAAGTGTTTCCCGCTCAATTACGATATATCATCTAAAATATCGCTGCCATATTTCAATCATCACAATCCTATATATTAAATGAGAATGTAGTTTAATGAAAAAATCAGATTTGTTTTAATTTGATTGGCTTAGAAAAGCTCACTGTCAACGTCAATGATGACGTTTATTCCACGTCAAATGTGACATGGCAAGGTTGCTAGCTCTGCGCAGTTTTATTGGATGATGATGCTGATGTGTAATTTATGTCCAAGTTTTTCTGATTTAAAAAAAAACAAAAGAATAAAAAATCATAAACGGATAAACACGCGGATCTTTATACCCGACCCGGCCCAATTATCTGCACATATTTTAAAAACACTCTTTGGCCATATACGTCATACAAGCCCATTTACCGGAGTTAATGTAACAAAATATACAGAAATCTTAATTTTTCAAAAAGAAACAAGAATTTATGTTACAGTTTAATACTAGACATCAATTTTGGCAATTAAATCAATTTGAATATATTGATTCTCAAATATTCCCGCAACAATACCTACTTCTACGCACAATCCGAATATCCATATTCTTCATTTCATTCTCTTTCTCAAAATAATTGAAATTCCGCCTAACATCATTTTTAAAATGTTTTCATTAACTTCCTCTCCCTATATATACCACCTATCGTAAACCCTAAAACTCTATCATTTTCATTCACTAAAATGGCTTTAGTCCGCAGACGTTCAGCTGCTATAGTTCCATTTGCCAAATTAGATCAATCAAGTGAAATTCAGAAAGTTAGAGCTACTATATTTTCACTTTGGAAAGTAAAGAATAGGCAGTCTGGCTTTGTTACAGAAATGGTATTGGTTGACGAAGAGGTTTGTATGCGATCTTATGTAATTCTCTTATTGTTATTTTAAGTAATCTATAGATTATATAGTAATATTATTTACGTGTGATTCACAGGCACTAGGATTCACGCTATTGTTGATGAAGAATTGATCGCAAAACATAAAGGGATTCTTATAGAAGGAAAATCACTTTCTATTAATTGCTTCATAATTAAAGAATACTATGGTGATTTTAGGACGACTCCATTACCATACAAGATCGCTTTGTGCAGGACAACCTGTGCTAAGGAGATTAATGATTTTCCATCAAATTTGCCAGAGAAATATTTGTCTGATTTCAAGTCAATCAAGGAAGACAAACTCGACAAAAACGTCCTCATCGGTATGTCATCATCTTAATTATGAGATTTATATTATAATGTACATATTTATCATTGTATACAAATATTTTTTCTTGAAGATGTCATTGGACAAATTGTCACTGTTGGGAGTATGGAAGTTATAAAAACTAAAGGAAAAAGTGGGATCAGCGAGAAATTGATGATAACACTCCGGGATACCAAGTAAGTAGTTATGATATCATACTAAAATAAACATAACAATATTTTAACAATGTAACGCTAATATGTTTACTGATGAAGCGATGTCCAACTGAAATGTACACTATGGGGACAATATGCAAAAGCAACTGTTGAGTACACTGACAAACATATGGCTGCTATTGTTGTGTGTGTAATGCGATTTGTCTGTATAAAAGAGTACAAAGGTTATATCACTATATCCCCTATTCATATATATACAGTTTGTAGAGATTGGGTTTGGATTAGTTTGTTAATTATTCTTATTTTATGTTTTCCGAGTATAGGTGACATTTCAATATCAAACGCTTTCAACTCCACCAAAATTTTGTTTGATCCTGACGTCAACATCGTGAAAGACTTCAGAGAAAAGTATGTTATGTGACGATTTAATATCATTTTAACATTGTTTTATTTATATAATTATTGTTTACGTTTTTGTAGGTTGCCAAAAAACAATCAAATGATTGTGCATGCTGACAGAGTTATTCGACTTCTTGGGGTGGTGCTATTGACTACCGTGAAGAATTTTTAGGTGTGAAAAATAGGAGGCGGACGATAACTGGAATTCGTGATACAAAAGTGGTATGAGCTATATATTTTGAAAATGGTATACATATATTTACATTTAACTATATACATATTAATGGTTTTGTTATAGCCTGGCAAGATTGTAACATGCGTTACGGTCAAAGACGTTGACACTTCAAAGTTGTGGTATTATTGGGCATGCAAACCTTGCAACATCAAAGTTTTAGAGCATGGAATTATGTCTGATGATGAAGATTACGATAAGAGGATTCCTCTTTTCAGTTGCAAAAATTGGGGTGATATTTATTCATATGATACCATCATCGCAAGGTAATACAATGATTTGTCCCATAAAGTCAAGAAAACATTATTTATTTCATTAAGTATTTCTTAGGTAATATATCTAGCACATATAGCAGAATTATTTCATGTAGACTTTCTCTGATTCATTGGCTAATGTTTGCCTTATTTTATTATATTGATTCGTCTCATCATACATTTATTCCGGCACTATATTACATGTTTATGATTGTAACGTTTAAATAACTCACTCTTCTATTATCTTTCAAACAATGTAGGTACTACATTGTATTATTTGTAACTGATGATTCAGACGTCGATATCCGCTTCCTGATGTTTGATGACACTGCTCAAAGATTGTTAGGTCATTCAGCTGAGTCTATAATGGAACAAAATGATGAGGTTATTTGTGTAATAATTGTATATATTATGCAATATTTACATTTTCTGAAATAATATTAATCCATTATATATAATGATGCGCATGATTTACCAAGAGGGCTCCCTGATGGCTTGACAAAGCTCCTAACTATGAGGATGCTTTTCAAAATAACAGTTTCAGAAGAACATATAAAAGGAAGCCAGTCTCCGTATGTAGTAGAACTATGGTCTCAAGATGTCGACATTATGACAGAGTGGGATTCTCGATCAGAGGTAATATATGATAAATTTTTACAGACTTCTAAAGCTCGCTTATCTGGACGTTTAATTAAATTAAGACATCAACAATGTACCTATGTCTTCAGCAACCGTTGATGCTTACGAGTTCTGACGAACTTGAGAATCCATCGTCTGGATCTTTACTCACTCCTTCTTCTAAGAAGGTAATTAAGAGTCCCGACTATTTGGATGAAGGTGAAAGATCTGTTAACAAAAAGCGATCGAAGCAAGAGATCCCAATGAAGTTATGAAGAAGCAAGAAATCGTAATGAACTTATTGCAGAAATACATTGCCGGTGATTGATTATTGTTTTTGATATTTGTAACCAATTTGTCCAATGGGTGGATAACGTTTGAACTCTATTCGTTATTTTGTTTGCGGTATTTGTGGAACCTTTTTGGCGTATTTTATTTAATCGTGGAACTTTAATGTTGCCCTAGATTGTTTTTCCCTAATTATATTTTTTTAAAAATTTAATTTGTGATTTTTTTTTCAACCAACTGTCATAAATTTACACGAGAGTTTCAGTTAATACGACATTAAAACAGTAACCGTTTTACTCCATCACATAGAAAACTATTCATTTCCTTATTCTCTTTCATCTTCAATCTTCACAAAAATATTTAAACAAAGAATGTCTCCTTGTGAAAGACTTTCCGATCTTCAGAAGTCAAATGGCGGATATCGTATTTGTGTACAGACACTAAGAGATTATTATGATTATACTCTCTTCGATCGACTTAATCGGATGTTAGTTCTTGCGGATGAATTTGTAAGTTTTTCAAGTTTGAAAAGATTTACCGTATATATGTTTTAGGAATGTTTTCCTAAATTATTTATTTTTATAAACCGTGTAGGGCAATCACATCCTGTCTACTATTCAATATGATATTATAGACAAATTCGAGTATGAATTGAATTGGTTGAAGGAGATTGGGTTTTTCTTGGTAATTTTGAAGTTACTGACAGAGTGATTTGTCCAAGTATATCATCAAACAACTATCATATACATTTCCTTGAGGATACCATTGTTGAGAAAACCGATCCGAAGTCTTCAAGAGGAATATACTCTTTTTGTGCATTCATGAATATTTTATATAGATTTACTTATACAGATAGATATCTTGGTATGTTTCTTACAACTTTTTTTTTTAAATCGTTTATCTAAGGAACTCCAACATGTATTTAAAGGCAGTCATTTATTGTTGCAGTTGATCTTCTCGGCGTTGTCATATTTGTTCAGAAACTTCAGTTAGGAGTTCTTATGTTCGATACATTGGACACACCCACGGAACGTCCACTTATTCGTTTTAAAATTAAGATTTCAGGTCTGTACAACTTATTCTCAGAACATCTGTTATTGTATATTTTTAATAAATTTTAAAGTATGTTAATAATGTTCTAAATGATTTAAATATACAGTGGAGAAACTTTGAAATGTATTGCTTCGGATAACTTGGCAAAGCCATGTTCGACCACGGCCGCGTCTTTCTGACCGCGGCCAGACACCAATTTACCGTGGTCGTTCAGATGATATCCGACCCCAAACCACCCACTTCACCTCATTCCACCTCACCAAGCCCCATTCCATCTCATTCATCACTTCCCACCACCTTCCATCACCACTTATCACCTTCCAACACCTTTCCGAATGGATCCGGTCCATCTCCATCAGTATCCCAGATCTAGTAAAGTTCTCTTTGGCTTACCAAATTCGATTATCTATGCATTTTTCTCATCCAATCTCGACTTGTTTCACACTGAGGACAGTGTGATTTAAGCCTGGGGGAGGATTTCATCCCTTTCTAATCATTTTTATTTATGAGTCTTGCATTATCTACACTTTTTGCGTTTTCCTTAAAGTTTTTCAAAAACTGTTTTCAAAACAAAATACGCTTTAAAGGGAATGGTGAACATGAATCAATGATAGTTGATTGTGTGCTTTTAGACTGTTCCTAGTGACATGCTCAGTTATGATTTAGAACAAGACTAGGCGGTAGCTAAGCACATTTGAAACGAAGTACCCCTGAGGAATTTGAATGATTTCGATTTAGATGAAGGAATACACTAGCTCTGTTTTATTTGGACTTAACATGGACTTAACTCTCCCATTAAAGCATTAGACCAGGGAAACGAATCATATATTCATGACTCTTTTACCCTTTTATCACTCTCTGTTGATCCTAAATGGCTAGTTCATTTTTAGCTAGTTCCCCACCTTAACCAAGCCTCTTTCGAACCACATGCACTCTTGTTTTCTATTCTTTTATATGCAGATATGTGCAAAAACGTTGGAGAGAAAGAGGAACGACGTAGTTTTCAGTCACTAAGACGAAGAACTGCGATTTTGCCGGAAGATTTACCGGAAGGATTCAACAAAGGAGAAAACCCAGCTTAACTCAGAAAAAAAAAAAGAACGCCTAACATTGGTTCATTTTCGTCCCTTAGACTTTCTCTCTCTCTAAAAGGTTATTTCCTCCTTCAAAAAAAATCCGAAAAGAAAAGAAAAGATGAAAAGAAAGGAAATAAAAACTTAAGAGAGTCTAAGAGGATTGATTTTATCTTCGAGGCAAGCTAGAGTTTGATTTTAAGGAGTTTTGGAGATCATTTTTCTGATTCCCGGATAGAATCTAAGTCTGGGGGAACAGCTGTTCACAACAAAGGAGGAAGGATTATGCAACAACATTAGGCAAGAAGAAGTGACTGAAAAATTGCGGTCATCAACAGGTCCTCATCTCTCTTGCGGTTTTGCATTATATCTTGCATCCTCCAGAGTCATCAGGTAACCCGAAACACTTTAACTCCACCACTTAAACAACCCTTAAATACCAAACGCCGTCTACCCTGGATGATGTCTTTGATGAGAATTCACTATTGCACTTAATGAATGTATAGAGCTGGTTGACTTGAATCGAGATTTAGATTATTTAAGTTTTGCATGACGGAAAAAATTGTGTCTTTGTGTCTTTTGTGACTAGTATCTTTTGTGTCTTTTGTGACTAGTATCTTTTGTGTCTGGTGAGAATTTTCTAGACTAAGTTGTGGATTGATGCACGATCTATGGTCCTAGTTTAGGAGTTCATGTCTCTGAGATTTTTGCATTTCCTACTTTTGCTTAAACAGGTTAGACTTTTGCTTTGTTTAGGAAAAACAAAGGTTTAAGTTTGGGGGAGTTGATAACACTATATTTTGACCATTTTTATGGATCGGTTTGAAATACTTTTTTCTATGTTTTTTATTGTTTTCAAGTACTTTTATGATGTTTTTCTAGTATTTGTAGTTTCAAGACTTTTTTTCAGGAAACTTAGGGAAAAGCTTAACAAAATGGATAGAAAACCAGATTTTCAGTTCAGAGTCAAACCTTCAGAAGTTCACCCCCAATTAAAGACCTTCTCACCGTCTGATCCAGCTCAAATTTGGAGATCTCAAAGATGGAACTATCAGCTTTCCAGCACACTTTACAGCTTAATCAAAAGTTACGCGAAGAGCAAGATGTCTCGTAAACCAGCCGGCAAGCATTTCCACCCGCGGCCAACAGCCATTTCACCACGGTCAGAGGCTACCCGACCGCGGTCAAGCATCCATTCTCCGCGGCCACGTCCCTTCCGACCGCGGCTAGCCATCTCCGAGTTAGAAGGCCCATTTCTGAAGCCCAAAATGATTTCCTCATTTGGAGAAACCCTAAGTGACGTCAAGAAATGTCTTGAGTACTATAAATACATGTTTTAAGAACCATAATTCGCATGCCGTCTTATGTTTTTATTGTTTTAGAATATTTTTTTGGTTTTTCAATACTTTAGATTTCAGGGAGATAGAGATATATCTCTTGAACCCTTTTTATTTCTTCTTCAATTTCGATTATTGAGCTTTTTAATACTATGTTTTTGATTTCGTTCATCATGTATGAGTAGTTTTATTGTTGGGTCAAAGGGATTTTCGATGGGATTAAATATGTTCGATGAGGATTCCATGAGCTATTGAAGCCGAATCCTAGAACTTTTTTCTTCTGAATTCACTTTCAATGCATGAGAGTAGCGTCATGAACTACAATCTGATTCAGATCTTTGGTGATACGAAAGTGTTCATCTGGTGTCAGATCTAGTTTGGGAGAGCAGAACAAACATAGGAGTGGAAACCTACCTATGGAGGATTTGTGAATGCTGACGAGTCTTAAACATATTGCATCTTGTCTCTTCCAGGGCCAGAGTGGAAACCTACTGGTCAGGGTTGAGAGAGATAGTTGTCTATGATCACGACAGTGGCGTATTCATACGTCTTGACTCGATTTCGAAAAGTTTTAGCTAGGATCTTATTAAATTTACTCTTTAGAAATATTTTGAATTGTTCATACCCCGGAGAGAATTTCTCTGAAACTCTGCGCCTCTTTTCTATAGATTTACATCGATTTTCATTTATGTTTTAGTCTAATATTTTTACTCTTTCAGCCGATTTTCATACAAGCAATTAGGTATAGCCGTTTTCTCGTTTTAGTCTAAAACCCCTACAAAAATCGTATTTTACGTTTTAGCCAATTTTTATTCCCGTATTTTCTTATTAAGATTAGTTTTTACGTTTTAAAGACACTACCAAAACCCCTACAAAAATCGTCTAGTTCTAGATTTTATTACTTTATATTTCTTTCGAAGCCTTTTGCAGGAAAGATCCTCCTTCCATGTGGATTCGATTTCTAAGTACTACAATCGATCGGCTATGCACTTGAGGCTATTGATTTCATTTAGGGTAAAACTTGACACCCCCACCAGCAGACAACATCAATTATGAAATGATTTAGTGTTCTCTAAACCCAAATGAGCAAAAAACAACAGCGGCAAAGACAAAGCATTCACCAATTAAACTAACATTGTGAGAAAGAGGTTTTTGAATTCAGAGTTGAAGATAAACTAACTAACAATGTCACAAGATACATTTTTGTTTTGTACTAGATAAACCAAAGAAAAAATCGATTGAGATCCATAAGAGAAAAAATAGCTTTTCGCCGGTTGAAGAGTTATCTCAGAGGCCTCAACGGCGAAAACAGCAACGGATGATTCAAAGCGAATTGATACTTCTCGAGTATTGAGAGATGTCGAGACGGAGCTAGGCCTAGCATTGTAGGCTTCTCTAATAGCGATGATTCTCTCAAAGAAAAGGCAAGATTCACACGTTATTGCTGATAATAGCTCAGACTGCATAAAAAAAAGAAAAACTCAAAATCAGTTTGGGTTTTTAAAACTCTAATATCAAGATTGAATGAAAAAGAGAGTCAATATATTATAATAGCGGACAATGGAACAAGGAGAGTGACGACGAAAACTTCTTATTAATCCGAAGAAACAATCGATTATAACTGGTGGAAAATCAAGAAAGAACGATGGAAAAAAGGAAAGTGTTAGGAGTTTTTTTTCGTAGCAAATAAATTTTTTTGTTGTTTTACTATTAAGTTGTTACTGGTAATTTTTTAAAAAATAATTTCAATTTTGAATTAATAATAATAAAAATAATATATTAATATAAGATAATTCAATTTTTAGGAGTAAAACAGGATTAACATTAATATAAATATTAAAAACAAATAAATTTTAAAAAAGCATTAAATCATTTTTTTACTTATATTTCCGATTATCCCAAGTATTTTTGCCATTTTCGATAGAGATTTTACCATTCAATATCAAAATACCATAAACCCTAGAAGGCCAACCCCTCTATTCGGACTACATGAACAAAAGAAAATGATAGCATAATCGAAAGATTTATTCTCCAATGGAAGCTCTAGGTCACGTTAGCATTAGCCTCTTCCCATTCCAGAAATGCCGAATTCCACCGGCGACGAAACTCAGTCGTAGCCAAACCTCAGTTCCGACCACCACTATCTGTTCTGCTAGCAGATGGGCCGATCGTCTTCTCTCCGACTTCAATTTCACTTCCGATTCCTCCTCCTCCTCTGTTGCCACCGCCACCGCCACTCTCGTCTCTCCGCCACCATCTATTGATCGTCCCGAACGCCACGTTCCCATTCCTATCGATTTCTACCAGGTTTTTGCTCAGTCCTTTACCAATCTTTTCCTTTTATTATTTATCAAGTAATCTGATTCGTGCGATTTTTGCAAATGTGAAAAGGTTTTGGGAGCGGAGACGCATTTCTTAACTGATGGAATCAGAAGAGCATTCGAAGCTAGGGTTTCGAAACCGCCCCAATTCGGTTTCAGTGACGACGCATTAATCAGCAGAAGGCAGATTCTTCAAGCTGCTTGTGAGACACTTTCGAATCCTCGGTCTAGAAGAGAGTACAACGAAGGTCTTCTTGATGCCGAGGAAGCTATAGTCATCACTGATGTACCTTGGGAAAAGGTAATTTCGAATTTCGGAAATTTTTTTTCATTTTGATTCTCAGAGTGGATAAAGTAAACAACTTTAATCATCTACTGGATTACATTAAGGTTCCTGGTGCACTCTGTGTATTGCAAGAAGCTGGTGAGACTGAGGTCGTTCTTCGGGTAGGAGAAGCTCTGCTCAAGGAGAGGTTGCCTAAATCGTTCAAGCAAGACGTGGTTTTAGTTATGGCGCTTGCGTTTGTGGACATCTCGAGGGATGCAATGGCTTTGGATCCACCTGATTTTATTACCGGTTATGAGTTCGTTGAGGAAGCTCTGAAACTTTTGCAGGTAATTTCTTTACTTTGTTTTGTGCGATATTTGTAAACTCTCTTGATTTGATATTTTGTTCTTGCTTCTTGTGCAGGAGGAAGGAGCAAGCAGCCTTGCACCAGATTTACGTGCACAAATTGATGAGACTTTGGAAGAGATCACTCCACGTTATGTCTTGGAGCTTCTTGGTTTACCGCTTGGTGACGATTACGCAGGGAAAAGACAAGACGGTTTAAGCGGTGTACGCAATATTTTGTGGTCTGTTGGAGGAGGTGGAGCATCAGCTGTCGTTGGGGGTTTAACACGTGAAAAATTTATGAATGAGGCGTTTTTACGAATGACAGCAGCTGAGCAGGTGTAAAATCCAGATATTTCTCTTATTTCCTTACCATGATTTAGCTTTGGTTTCTCATTCTAATTTGTGTCCTTGTGTCGTAGGTTGATTTATTTGTAGCTACCCCGAGTAATATTCCAGCAGAGTCATTTGAAGTTTACGAAGTTGCGCTTGCGCTTGTGGCTCAAGCTTTTATAGGTAAGAAGCCCCACCTTTTACAGGATGCTGATAAGCAATTCCAGCAACTTCAGCATGCTAATGTAATGGCTATGGAGATTCCCGCGATGTTGTATGATCCACGAAATAATTGGGAGGTAGACTTTGGTCTGGAAAGGGGACTTTGTGCACTGCTTATAGGCAAAGTTGACGAATGTCGTATGTGGTTGGGCTTAGACAGTGAGGATTCACAGTATAGGAATCCAGCTATTGTGGAGTTTGTCTTGGAGAATTCAAATCGTGATGACAATCATGATCTCCCTGGACTTTGCAAACTATTGGAAACCTGGTTGGCAGGGGTTGTCTTTCCTAGATTCAGAGACACTAAAGATAAGAATTTTAAACTTGGGGATTATTATGATGATCCCATGGTTTTGAGTTACTTGGAAAGGGTGGAGGTAGTTCAGGGTTCTCCATTAGCTGCTGCTGCAGCTATGGCAAGGATGGGAGCCGAGCATGTCAAGGCTAGTGCTATGCAGGCACTGCAGAAAGTTTTTCCTTCTCGCTATTCAGATGGAATCGGGACTGAACCCAAGGATGTGCAAGAGACAGCGTTTACTGTAGATCCTGTTGGTAACAGGGTAGGACATGATGATGAGACTGTTGTTTCTACTGGAGAAGCAGAAAGACTGTCTGAGAACTTTGATACAAATGATTATGCGATTCGATCTGGGGTCTCAAAGAGTAGCATTGATGCAGTTACCGCTGAAAAGTCCGTTGCTGATAAGGTAAAGGAGGTAAGTGTGAAGGTTCTATCTGCTGGTGTTGTTATTGGAATGATTTCACTGGCCGGCCTGAGGTTTTTGCCGCTTAAAAGCAGCTCATCTTTTCAACGCAAGGATATGGCTTCTTCAACAGCATCTGACATTGCCACCGTAGGTATGATTAAATCATGCAATTTTAACACACAAGTTCGTTGCTCAGAAGAAGCATGATTTTTGAGCTTAGAACATAGTTCGCTGAATGTCTGACGATTTCTAACTCGAGTTGTTCAAATTATTCCTATTCCTTCATTCATGACCCCAAAGTTATCCTGCGTATTTGGAAGTGGGTTAACAAGTTGCTAATAAGATTTCAGTCCCAACATGTATGCGGCTTGAATTTTTGTTCAAACGTTAGACCTTTCTGTTTAGGATAACGTAGGATTAGAAATTATCCTACTGTGCTTTGTCGAACTTTTTTACCTTGGATGAATTGTTTTTTTTTAATTAGGATCAGTGAAAGCTGAGGATTCAGAAGCACTTCCCAGAATGGATGCAAGGACTGCAGAGAGTCTAGTCTGCAAGTGGCAGAAGATAAAGTCCCAGGCTTTTGGGCGTGATCATTGCATAGAAAAATTGCCAGAGGTAAGGGGATAAAGCCACACTTCAATCAATTGTGTGAAAACTGTGGACCTTATTGTAGCGATTGGAACAATGTCTGGTGCCTTCATGATTTTGGTAATATATAGGTTTTGGATGGGCGAATGCTGAAGATCTGGACGGACAGAGCAACTGAAACTGCGCAGCTTGGGCTGGTCTATGATTATACTCTGTTGAAAGTGTCCGTTGACAGTGTGACTGTCTCAGCGGATGGAACCCGTGCTCTAGTGGAAGCAACTCTCGAGGAGTCTGCTTGTCTATCTGATTTGGTTCATCCAGAAAACAATGCTACAGATGTCAGAACCTACACAACAAGATACGAAGCTTTCTGGTCCAAGACAGGCTGGAAAATCACGGAAGGCTCTGTTCTTACATCATAATATGCTAGTATGTAGCATACCTGAGCTTATGATATTCGCTTTGTTTTGTAAATTCTCCGTCTAAGTTAGTGGTTATAAATGAACACGAAATATTCAGGTTCTTGTCACTCTCTCCTCCTTTGTCTATATGATAATATAAGTTCTACAATTCAAGATTCATTTGCAACCAGGTACAAATTATATCTAGAATTTGACTTATCTTACATGCAAGCCTTTCACAACTTCACGATCAGTTTGGGGACCGGAAATAAAACGAGGGTAGAGCAAGAACTGTCTGACATCTGTTTTGTTGATGTTTTCATAAATGTGCTCTGGTTATCATCCAGTCAGTCGTATACCGGAGAATGATTTCGTAAATCTCCAGCCAGATGATTTTACGGTCTCGGTTCTTGGCAACAAGCTGAGGCCAAACATTTCCTTTGGCATCCGACTTGGCTCAACAAATCCAAGCAGCTTAGCCACAAGAGAAGCACTTTCTTTTATGTGTTTCATGTCTAGTGCGTTAGTCCACAGTTTGTGCGCCACCTGCAGGCTTCTCTGCTTCGAGTTCACCTCCACGCCCCATTTTTGGTAAAGTTCTATTCTCTGGTTCCATGGAAATTTTTTTGGTATTTGTTTGGAAAGCCATTCCTTTTCGCGTGTGAGTGCCTTCACCGTTTGTATTCTGATTAGAGACCACAGGAACTGCTTAGCATAATACTTATTGGTATAAGATTGATATTTAACGAGACTCGTTGAAATAATGTTACAGAAAATAAACCTTGATGTTTCTGGGTCATTAGTTATCGTCTGCTTTAGAAAAGATAGCCTTCTGAGTTCTACTTCCATATAAACATAGTCGGAAGGATCACCTTTGAAGAGTAAGAAGAAGTAGGTTCTGTGAACCAAAGGTACATTGCATACCGCCCAAAGCTCAATTATTTGCCTTTGCTGTCTCTCAAAGTCTGATGAACTGCTTGAATATTGTCCACTAGCTCCACCTAGTTTTTCTAGGCAAGCCCCTGTGGAATCTGTTTCCTTAGGTTCTGCGTCTTCTTCCTGCAATATGTAATCATCCAAACTGTTAAGGACAGATACAAGTTTTTCTCTTCCCCAAGAAAGAGTTTCAAAAGACTTTTTTTGGCTTACCAAATCATCGCCCTGCCCGCTCTCTGATTGATCATTGCTGCCATTTGAGGTATTTTCAGTTCTGTTTTGATGATTTTGCACTCCATTTGCGTTTACACTGATGCTATTTGCAGGGCTTTGAGGCCTAGTCTCCATTATTTCGGTTCTTGTAGGGTCATATGAAATCGGATAATCTAGGTCAGGTGTCGACTCAATTGAGTGGTGCTGCTTTGCCATTTCTTCAAGCCCTGCTACAAATTCATGGAAGCTATTGCCCGTTTCCGGTTCACAGTCTTTCAGGCTTTGTGTATCAATGGAAGTAGAGCTCCCCGAATCAAAAGAAATGCTCGAAGTGTTGGAAGTCTTGCTTATGGGTCCTCCTGGAGATGCTTTAAACTCCATAACCCTCCAGGAAGGTGACGTATTGTTATTACTTTCGAAATTTTCTAACCAATGAGGAGATCTAACGCTCAATAGATTCTCCCTGCAACTTCGGCTTCTTTTGGTAGTGAAAAAGTCAGGACTCTTGTAATCTCTCCTGAAGGAGGGTGACTGTTGTTGTTCTGCTGTGTGCATACTCATAAGGTATTCAATTTTCTTCTGCATCTCTTTAACCTTTTCTTTCAAAGCCTCATAAGTATTGTTGTCAACATCATCTGCGCCAATATCTTTGCTGATTGATGATTCGTTACAATTTTTATCAGCGTCTTCAGGCAGTTTGTTGTCCCACTTCTCTCCAGATGTGCCATCCTCATCTAGCTTAGCACCATCGGGTAATAACTCCACTGCGACTATTTTTTCAGACTGCTTCAGAGGGAGTGAATTCAATTCCCAGTCTTCCTTTAATATCTGCTCTGACTGAGCTTTTTCTTCTTTATTTGAGTATTGCTCAGCTTGCACTGTGGAAGGACTCGTTTTCTTTTCTGCTTTCTTTACCTGTTCATCTTCCTTCACAGATTCCTGAATTTCTTGAGCTTCAACTGATGGTGGGATCATCTCCAAATCCGAGTTCTTTAAAGCTAGCTCATAGGTCTCGGGCTTAGCAGCTAGATACAATTCTACACCTATTGTTTTCAATGATAAGTCAACATTTTCCATTGCACGCGTGCTAATCTCCATGTCTTCATTCTCAGCTTTCTCATAACCCATAACAGAGTGATAGCCTTCTTCGTATTCTGGAGCTGATAAAGTTTCTTCATTTCTGGATGAGGGGACCTCAGACACAGCTTTTTTATCAACAATGTCATCTAATAAGTCGTGGCTTTCGACTGTAACTGCTTGTCCACGACTCTGCTCGTCTTCAGTTTCGATGCATCTAACTTCTTTGCATGCGTCTTCCAGGTTTTGGTCAGTCATTTGAACCATCTCCTCCCAGCCATCATACAGGTTGTGCCTCGAAAATTGAGGGGTATTATCATCCAGCAAGAAATCATCTTCTTCAGAGTTATCCAAAAACTCAAATTTCCTCTCGGTTAAGTTATTAATGATACTGGGTTCACCAACATCTATTGAATCATAGCTTCTTCTTCGGAGATCAGCATCAAAATCCATGGAACTTAACATGGAATGTTCATCCATCCTAGACGACCGCTCTTCTGCTGTTACTTTAAGTAAGTTCTCCACCCGAGATTGAGCGACATCAAGCTGCCATTTTAACTCTTTCATTTGTTCCTCCATCTGCAATTTGTTGTCAGAAGTTTCAAGAATTAAGTAGATTTCTTAGTTGAAAAAAGGAGTGCAATGTAATAAGCAGTCAAGAGAGGGAAATCACCTTTGCAATCACTTCCTCTTTCTGTTTCAGCAATAAATAGAAGTCAGAGCCTGCAGAAGAAGCAGATCCTAAGTTCTTCAACTCATTCTCCATTCGAGCCAGTTCCTGCTGCAGTTGCTTCACCAAAGCCTTCTCAGACACAACTACATTGACCTGAGCATTTGTCGTCACCTCTTTCGCGCAGGTTGCGAAGAGAAGCGTGTTTCTCGACTGCTCAACATGACTACGAGCAGGGCTCATTGTGCATATGATAGCTGTTCTCGCATTTCCTCCCAAAGAATTTTGAAGGATTCGAGTTAGCTTCGAGTCTCGATAAGGTACGTGCCCGTTTCTACCTTTACTGCACTTCGAAACATATTACACTCCCTGTTAAAATACATCCCTTTTGGTAAAAGTGGATTTCATTAAGCCATAATAGTCGAACCTTAGTTTGCGGATGACAGTTCCAAGAGTAAGTAAACTCCGGTTTATATGACAACCTTCTTTTAATCTTTTACCAGCAGATAAAGTCTGAGAAGCACGTTCACTTCCAGCCAGATCAACGAAGCACTTGAGTCAGAGAATCGAAAACACTTGTTGTCAGAGAATTAAACAGGTGGAAAACTGTATCAGACAAAAACACTACTCATTTATGATTGTATTATACCACAGATGCTGCAAGAGTGCTGGAGTTTTCAGGAGAATATTCTCGAACAGAGCTTTCAATTGTCTGCAGAAAATGCTTTGTTTAGCATCATAGCCTTTCAAGAACGAAAGGATAGAAGAAAATCCGAAAAGATGGATCCTTTGAGATTACCAGCCGGAGAATCTGATGTGATCTGGAGCTAGTTTCATTCAAGGAGGTCTCTCCGATCTTCCTCTGAGCTGCAAAATAGCAAAGGTACATTAGTTAACATTCAACTTATCATCAATTGAAAAATTCACAAGCGCTTTCTGTTACTCACTCTCGCAAACTGAAAGGAGTTCCTCTAGATGGGTTCTATCTCGGAGGGTCTCCTCAATAAGTTTCTCAACGACGGTTCCTCTCTGGTGAAGCAAGGGGCGGATGGAAAGACAATATGAGAGAGTGTATGGCATAATATTCAGAAGCAAGTGATGTAACTAACCTCTGGATCATCAAGAAGTCTCAATGGATTATTATCCCCACTAAGGAGATCCCTCACAGCTTCATTGTAGATCTCGATGGCCGAGAATTTGAGAGTGAATTCGCGTTCTTTATGCTGATGAAAGAAAAATTACAAAGAAGTGTGTTGGTTTGGTACTTAAGAAAGAAGAAACAAAGGAGAGATGTCAATGCTTAGTGGTTTGTTTTCAAACCTTTTCAATGTAACCAAAAATGTCGTCCATTGCGAATTCGGTAATGCCACTCATTGTGTACGTCTTTCCACTGCTTGTCTGTCCATATGCAAAAATGCTTGCTGCAAAACCAAATGTGTCAAACCAAACTCATTGGTACAAAGACAAAGCTGATCATAACAAATAAAGGTTATTCTTTTTGTTACAATTGATCCCGTCGAGTACACAAAGAGCAACCTCCTTGGCTCCATCTTCGTAGACTTGTTTCGTGGGGCTATCGAATCCAAACACTTTGTCTGTAAATTTTGCAAATCTTGTTTTCTTAGCATCATAAGTTGTACAATGGTTAAATTTAGCTTCGAATAATTTTAAGGGTTTTACCAAATGTGTATATAGATGGGAAGAGAGATCTCTCTGGCAAATTATTGTTGCAGATTATTGTTGTGTTGTTGATACATTCCCAGTCGCAGATATCGTTCCTCGTCTTCTCCTTCTCATTCCGTGGCCTAACCCTTACCGAAACCAATATCTTCTCTCCCTTTCCGTGGCCACTCGCCATGTTTAACCCTCTTTTTTCTTCTTTCTTACACAAACACACTTTTGTATTGATTATACGAAAACATTTTTTTCATCACTAAACCAATATCTAACCCTCCTCTTTCTTCAAAACATTCTCACCGGAAATGCAGCAATTGGAATCTCATTCTTGTGAGGGAAAGAGAGAGAGAAATGTTTAGATTGTGAAGAAAATGGATTTAAGAAAAAGCAAATGGAAGGAAGAGGGTAGAATTAGAAGGCAGCAACAAAAAGAATCTGTAATTAGAAGAAGAATGAGTCAGGTACAATGCCCAAATGGGTTGTAAGGCTTATTGGAGGGTTTCTTTTTCCTCAAACAAACATCTATATATTCTCGATAAACCTAAAAATAAGAATGTGGACAGATGTATCCTTTTACACATCCGTTAACGGTAGAAATCTATGACCTGTCTCAAGTTATAACACAAATTGCCAAGAAGATCAAAATACAGAAAACCCAAAATGGTATTCAATCACCAAGTTCTAATAAGTAGTCTTGTGCCGTTGGCTCGGTCCCATAAAATAGGTTGAACATTGGATTTGCAATTCGAATCCACAGTTGGGAAGAATTATATACGCCAAATGGGGTATTATCCAAGGTTAGTCTCATAGGAACAAAAACAGACCTAGCACCAGAACTTCCTAATGGTTCCAAATCAAAATATTGAAGAACATAAAAAGCATGCCGGCTACAAGAAAACATGTTGAATTCTTACGAATTTTATAACGGAAATTTTGGTAGGAAATTTTTTTTACCATTTTCCTACGAACTTATGACAACAAAATTAAAGTGGTAAAAACTTGGTAAAAAATTTTCCTATGATAAAAATCATCAGAAAATGGTTAAAAATTTCTTACCAATATTCAACCAAAATGATATCCGTAAGAAATTTGATCAGAAAATTGTAGAAAATCAATTGAAAATATTTACTCTAATGAAGTGACGAAATTTCTGAACACCTTTTTACAAACAGAATATGAAGAAATTACCTATTACTTTCCTACAAAACAAATATTATATTATTTAATATCCTACATATTTCCTACCAAAATCAGCCAAAAAAAGAAAGAGTAAAAGTCTCACATCGATAAAGTAGAATAAAATTCAAACTCAACTTGTTCTATAAATAGGATGCTAAATGAAAACAATATTTTAACACAATTTGGGGTTCAAAATGCCCAATTTTTAGTTAAAACTGATTTCTAATTAATTACTAATTGGAAATCTATTAATTTCTGATTTAATTTTTGAAATTTATTTAATTATTAAAATTATTTAATATTGAGATTAATTTAATTAAAAATATTTTTATATAGTTTATTGGTAAATGGTAGGAACATGATATTAAAACTTTCGTAGGAAAACGGTAAGAACTGTTTCGTAGGAAAATAAAAAGAAAGTAGTAGCAATTAGCCTATGATACTCTGACTAAATTTTCCTACTAAAGTTTTCTACCAAGATTTTCGTAAGAAATTTCCTACCATTTTTTTATCATCTAGTATTTCCGACAGCCTAGAATCTATGAAAATATTTCGTTGAAAATTGGTAGGAAAAGCATGTTTTCTATGATTTTGTGATAATATATGTAATAGGAATATGTGATGTTTTCTTATAGTGGCCTTGTTAAAAAAAACAATTTAGAGATCTTTCCATATTCTTTTGGTAGTTTGCATAAATAGACACTTATTTAAGTTTCATAAGTATTTATGCACTTTTTGAAAGAGTTAAAAGAATGTAGCACTGTATGTAATGTTCATGACAATTTTATCAATGTAAAAAAGGTGTACATTTGTATATGGTATAAAAGATACAATAAGAGGGTAAAATCGACTATTCACCAAAAAGTGAAATATCTTAACATTTATAAAATGGATAAATACTAAAAAAAACTTAAAATAAATGTCATTTTGTATAATTGACTCTATTCTTTAGACAAGCAGAAAATTTTTTTGTTTCAACAACAATTTTGTTTCTTATAAAATAATAGAAAACATGGGTTTATATATGAATATTTTTTCTGATTTCGTTCATATGCCCAAAGGTTTGTTATATACGTCTATAGAATACTTCAAAAATATTACAAAAATCTGTGTACAATTGCCATAATCTATTTTAAAAATATACATAAAAAAATATTTTGAAAAGTGCACAATGCATCTTTGTTTTCTCTGTATGCATGATGACTTTGTTTAACATGTAAAGCTCTAAAACCTTCTAGCAGATCGATATTCTGAAGGAAAATTGGGTGTATAGTTGATGACCTCGTCGTCCAAATCAAAGGATGTGTCGCTTGCGAGATTAATTATATGGAATAATTGAATTGTATTAAAATTGCTAATACATTTAATTGTTGTTGTTTTTCTTTTTGTTGTTAAAGGCTCAATTTAAATTGCATTAATTAAGAAACTAAAAAAATTACATAAGTCCAATTATTTAACAATTTTGGTTCAAACAAGTTTCTTAATAATATTTTCTATTATTATTTGAAAATGACACTTGAAAAAAGACCTTTATGTCATGTGTTAGTAACAACTTTGCCATGCTGAGGTATTAATCTCAGAGTGCTTCTCAGAATTTTTTTGAAAGTAAGCTCAATTTACTAGATTACTTACATCATATACCATTAATATTAATTTGGTTAGAGATTAATTTATATCAATTATATATTTAATACTCAACTATTTAATTTGTAAATATATTCTCTTTCTTTCTATTTCTTATCAACATGTTTATAAAAATTTAATCCATAATATTACTTATGTTACTAAACTTTATATTTCTTATCTCATCTTTCTTTAATCTTAGTTTTATTAAAAATAATCATATTATCTATATACTAATAAGAAAATATAAATTTTTCATACATATTATAATACAAATTTTTATATATCAAAGCAAAGTATCTTAGTCTGATGTTGGACCAGTTAGATATAACGTATTAATCCAATTTACTATATTTAATGTGCAATTTCATTCATATAAAAAATACTCTTAAAAACAGATGATAAAAATCATGAGACATGAGAATTTACCTGGATAAAAAATACTATTAAAATTAATTATAAAACCAATAATTATCTCATATTTATGCAATTGTATTACACAATAACAATAACTTTAATCATTATTTATAATTGCATAATCAGCATATATATTTGTAATTATAATTATCAGCTAACATTTTGTAGTTATATTTATATATATTATATTTGCATATGCAAATAAAAGAATTATGATTAATAGTATTAAGATCTCAGGATTGCCGAACCATGAATTGAAATTAAAAATAGGAACACCTATTATGCTGCTTCAGATTATTATGACCCTAGAGGTGGTTTATGCAATGGAACAAGATTCTTGGTAACACAATTGGCCAAACATGTTAATCAAGCTACCTACATAACTGGTGAGTATATTGGTCAAAATGTCTTGATCCCACAAATGTTTATTTCACCCACCGAAACAATGTTTCATTTTAGAATGATGTGTAGACAATTCCCTGTAGCCAACACCTATACAATGACTATCAATAAAACCCAAAAAAAACTTTACAAAATGTTGGACTGTATTTACCAAAACCCGTATTTTTTCATGGAAAACTTTATGTGGCTATATCATGTGTTACTTCGAGAACTGGTTTGAAGATTATGATAACAGATAATATAGGTAAGCCACAAACCAATACTTTGAACGTTGTATACAAGGCCGTCTTTCAGAATGTAAAGAAACGATAGTTTATTTAATTGGTTTTAGTTTAGACCTTTACTAATTAAATGGTTTATTTTAATGACACTTTGGTTTACTTATGCTTCAGAATTAATACTCTTTCTCTTTTTTCCATTAATAGTTTTCCTGATTGTCGAGAATCGATACTTTTATTAAATATAAAAGAAATCAAGTATAAAACCATAATGGCATTTGAAAAATACACACTAAAACAAACTGCAACTTAAAGATCTGCAGTATTGGAATGTTGTACATCAGCAAATATTGATTCATATAATGATAATGGTCATGGATGATAAAATGATGAGTTTTTCCAAAAGTACTATCATCCAACTATCAAAATTTATGGGTTTATTAGTGATACAGATCACAATACAATTATCCAATTATCAAAGCTTTTTCACCATTTAAAAAAAAACAAAATTAAATAAATAATTCATGATAGTTAGTATTGTTAGAACAAGAGAATATTAAAACATATCATTTTAAAAGATTATATATAACTTACAAATCTCCTACTTATCAATAATCGCCTCTATAAAATTTTGTAATCAGCTTTGTATACATCGTAGGACCGTGCTTGGCGCGGATTCCCACCTAGTAGTCATTAAAATGGTATGGATTTTTGTAAGATTATTTAAACTAAACCACATCATTTTAAATTCCGTTGGTTATATAACATTTGTTTAACAGAAGGCTTGTATTGGGAGTGACTTTTGAGATAAGGAGTTTGACCTGTATTTTTCAAAGGTGAAAGTCGATTTTGCAAACAAAAATAAAGACAGATGATTTTTTTGCATTAAACCCTAAATAAAAACGAAGGTGTTTTTTACTTAGACGACATGTTTTGTTTCAGGAGATGCACTTAGGTTAAGACAGCTTATCTTATTATGTCATTTGTTTTTTTACAGTTTGAACGTGTTCTAACATGTGGGAAATGGGGATGGTCGAAACCACTTACATGATGGTCGATCGATCAAGACCTTTGGTTTTTGCTTAAGCTCAAAGCTCAGACCCACCTCTCTCCCATCACAACTGATGAAGACCCAAACGGAAGACGCTATAACAGAGGTTCAACTTTGACGGATCAGCCTTGATGGATTATCTTATCTTCTTATTATATAAAGTTGAACATGCTCAACGTGACATGTGCCATTGACATATGTTAATGTAATAATATAAATTTTCTATTTTGAATTATTTATTGTAAAAAATAAAAAAAATGAATTATGTATTCTTCCAATTGAGATAGTAAAGTAAAATAAAAACAAAAATATACCATATAATAAAAATTATGTTTTTAGAACGTTATAATTTAATTAGATGGATTGTTTATCAGATTTATGGATAATATGTAATATTTTATAATTTCATAATTGTAAATTATAAAATATAAGTTGTAAATAACATAATAAGATCTTAATTTAAAATCTAATTATACAAGTCAAAACTATGTGGATAATCAATTTTAAAATTTAAATACATTTTTATTTTTCCGCATATTACGCAGAGAAAGATACATATTTTTTATGTTTCCGAGTATTATTGAGGACGAAAGCTATATATATATATATATATACCATATTCTTGTCTAATTAGATCAATAACCAATGACTGTTTTATTTTGGGAAATTGCAATGAATAATAGATTTCTGGGAGCAATTTGCAAGAATAAAAAGTTGTTTTTTTATTCATGTGCAAAGACATTACACACCTTCAGCTTCCTAACCCTATGCCATAAAGATTGCATCATAACAACGTAAACTTTCCTGGTCTGACACATTTTACTTTTATGTATTTTATTTTCTTCACATCCACCTTTAATTCAATTTTTTCTTATTTTTCATTTCAAAACTCTAATCCCAAAAATCCATATTTTTCATTTCAAATATTTCCTCCACCTCCACCTTATTCTCTCCTCTATTTTTTTACGACAAGTACTCGACCATCTATCTTTTTACTCTTATCTTTTTTTTTCCGGCGAGACTCTATCATCCCCATGTTTTGCGCCGTTTTATCAGCTTGAAAACTATGGCGGAAAAATCTGTAACACAGTCGACTCCTTTTTCATCGGCAAGTAGTGAAAGGTACTTCTTCGATTTCTGGTTCTCTATAATGAACTTTACTTCTACTACTTCTGTTTATTATTTTCTGTATTTCTTCAGTTCCGTCATCTTCTTCGTTATTATCAATATCTAGGTTTCTTGATTTTGTAGATCTAGAGTAGTTAACTATTTTTTATGCATAATGAGTACGTAGTAATTATATTGAATGTTCAATTGTTAGTAATCGTCTACTCTTAACGTTGACTACTGATACAACAAATAGCTACTACATTTTCAGTTAGTCTACATAAGTACTATGCACATGTAACCAATAAATAGCAAGGGCACACTCATAAATGAATGGTATATTGTTATAAAGTGGTTGTCTACTTATTAGAGTAAGTACCTATTAATATAGTCAACTATCTTATTTGGTTATACCTGAAACCACTTTTGTCATCTTCTTTATTGTTATCGATATCTGGTTCTCTAGATTTTGTAGATCTAGAGTAGTTAACTATTTTTAGATGCAAAACGAGACAGTAGTAACTATATTGTATATTAGTCAATAGTAATCCTCTACTCTTATCATATCTAATAGATACAATAAATACCTACTCTATATTCATATAATCGTTTATCACTAGTCAACTACCAATAAGGTGCCTACTGGTATTTTTAGATCCATAAAACACGCATCTGATAATAGTACTTAGTCAACTAATAAAAGTTCACATATTTTCTTAGTCAACTATTAAAACTCATCTGATATATAGTAGACAACTATGTTTAGTTTAATATGTATTCAAGTGTTCTTCCTATTTGTTTGATAATTAACTAGTGAGTCATAATAGTCAATAACCTATTTAACATATGGTATTCTAGTAGTGGCAGTAGATTGTGGTTGCAATGATAGACTAGGTGGCCATTGTTGACTATTTCTGATTTAATCATTTGGTCAGAGTATGCGGTTATGTAGTAGACGTCTATATTTGGTTTAATATGTATTCAAGTATTCTTTCTTTTTGTTTGATAATTAACTACTGCGTAATACTAGACAATAACCTATTTAACATGTGATAGTCTAGTAGTGGTAGTAAATTGTTGTTGTCTAGAAGGACTAGAAGGACTTAGTTGTCTATTTTCTGAAATATTCATATCTATTACTTACACGACCGTGTGGTAAAGAAAGATGTGAGAAGTTGGACAAATTAGTTGTAATCTGTCTGGCTGGTGAAGAGATGATGATGAATCTGAGGAGAACAATGAAGTCTTGCATGATTTTGCAGTGGAAAGAAATTCAACATTTTTCTTAGTTAATAGTCGACGACTAATGTTTATGATTAATTTGATCAGAGTATGTGGTTATATAGTAGACGACTATGTTTGGTTTAATATGCATTCAATTGTTCTTCATATTTTGTTTGATAATTAATAGTGATTAATAAGTCAATAACATATTCAACATATGGTATTTTAGTAGTGGTAGTAGATTGTGGTTGCAATAAATCAAGGTTAGAACAATCTGAAATAAGGTCGTCTATTACGTAAACAACTATATGGCCATATTAATCAACTATATACTTTTATCTTTGTCAACTTATATGAACATGGGAGTCAGATATTAGTAGGGTGTAACTATGAAAAATACATTGTCAATTAGTCTCACATAACTATACATGTACAGTAACCTATTACTATAAACTAATTGAGTTTTTAAATATGAGAATGAGATAGTTGATTATATGAACATAATAGTCAAATAAATTATGTATAGAAAGTAATCAACTACTCTAAAATACAAGAAAGACGTCTAATATGGATCATACATGTAATAAAACCTTCAGATACTATTCTACGTACATTCATACAAACTACCTCTTCTCTTTCAAATCTTACTACCACATCAATATGTACATCGGCGAATCTGGTGAAACAAATTATTTAACAGCAGTGTGCCACTGTGGGATTACATTGATGAAGATTCTCCATTTTTCTACATAGAAACACATTCTTATAGTCAGTTAGTGAAACTATAAAAAATACATAGTTAATTAGTCTTACAGGACTATATATGTACAGTAATCAACTACTTTAAAATAAATAAGTTTGTAACCACGAGAATAAGATAGTTGATTATATGAACATGATAGTAAAAAAAACCGAGATTGGAACAATCTAAAATAAGGTAGTCTACTACACATACACAACTATATGACTATATTAATCAACTATATATTTTTATCTTTGTCAATCTTATATATGAACATTGTAGTCATACAAATACCAAAAATAATCAACTATTGTAAAGAAAAAGATAATCTGATGAAACACATTAAAAAATAGTTGACTATATGGGTATGATAATTGGAAAATTTATGTAAAAGAGTAAACTACTACTTATAGCCAATAGAAATTGAATAATTTGAATAAGATAGTCAACCACCCTAAAAATTTGAATAATCTGAAAAACGTAGACAACTACTCGAGCACACTGATGTGTCATTATTAATCAACTAGTATTTACAAATGAACAAAGTATTCAACTACTTTCTAAAAATATACTATAGTTTGATATGGATATGGAGACAACAAATAAAACATCAAAAATAGTTTGATATGGATATAATATAGTCAATTGGTTGTAGTGTTTGAGAAAAGAAAAAAAAGGCGACAAAATTATATCGAAAAATTATTCAATATTCAGAAGATGCAAAAAAATATATGAGTTGGAGGTCTCATCGGTGGTGAAAAAGACGAGAAGCTCGATGGTGCAGCGTCAACAATGAAGAAGCCAACGTGACGTCGGAAGACCGAAAGCTTGACGGTGTAGCAGACGGCAGCATCAACGGTGGAGAAGTTGGATGTGATGTTGGTGTATCTGAGAAAATGATTGAAAATTGTGTATAGAAAGTAGAAAAAAACTTAATTTATTATAAAACAAACACCAGCATTTGAATAAAGGAAAAGCAATAAAGTTGTCGCTGCTATCGTTCATAAAAAATTGATATCGTTACAATTAACAAAGGTGATATGATCCTAATTTTTGACCAAAGAAACAATGTCCAAAATCATAGAGCAAAGGTTTGAGGGTCTTTTTCTATACTTTTTTTGTGTTGACTTATGCTATTTACTCAATTGACCACTTTATTATGCTATTCTCTTAATTTGCTCTCTCCTATATAATATTGATGTAAATCACTTTTTTGTTTTTTGTATTTTCTTTTTTTATTTCAGTATTACTGTTTCCATTTTTAATAGTTTTTTTTATGGTTTATGTAAAACAAACTTTTTTTGTTGTTGTAAGTCGTGATTTTAAATCAATACAATATTTATTCATCAAACTTTTACGGCCGTTTTTCTTTATTTTGTGTTATTCATCAAATTTATAGTTGAGAGTCTTGAGTCCTTGTGATTTATCACGAGATTATTGCATCTCGTGTAGTTCACTGATTCCACTTTTGATTGTCAACTTTTCCATTACCGGAGCAAAACATATTGAGTTTCTCATCTTTTTTTTTTTTTTTTTTCCTCTACCCAATTAATATATCACATGTGTCCAGTCGGGAAAATGATCCGAGAACCATCGTCGACTAGCTCGGTATGAATGATTTGGGAAAAAATAAGGCCTCTGGCACGGGCTCCTTTCGCAAGACTATCCGCCCGGACATTTTGATCTCTGGGAATATTTGATAAGGTGAAGTCTAAATAGCTCTCCCGGAGGATACTGAAGGATTCCAACTCAGTTTGAAAAGACGGCCAATCTGCTGGTGAACCAACCATGCTCACAAGGTCCGAACAGTCGGATTGAAAGTGAACTGAAAGATTTCCTCTTTCTCTCAGGCTAGACATAGCCCAAAGGAGGCAATCCATCTCGGCGTGAAGAGCGGAAAGGCTTCTTCGACATCCCTGGGCTCCTACTGTCTCATTTCCGATGACATCCAAGAAACACCAACCGAGTCCGCTCACCGAACCGTGATCGATCCAGGAGGCATCAACACGGCATAACGGAGAGCGCCGGAACTCGGTAGGGTGTCTCGGTGGGGAGGATTGGGGAACACAGCTTTCAAACTCCACGTCGTCTTCTTCTGATCGGTTAGCGATTCTCCAGCTTTCCGCTTCCACTCTAGCATGAATCAAGGTATCTTCCGAGGAAATTTCTTTCCCGTTGAAAATCTTGTCGTTTCTGGCTTTCCAAATGTACCAGAGGATCCACGGATATAAATCCTTGTGTGGATCTGTCATGCCTAACTCTTTTGTTTTCCAAAAGAGAAAGCTCATATTCTGGTAAATAGAGGTACTCGGGAAGAAGCCCGGAAGGGACGGGAAGTCCGATAACGCCCAGACTTGTAAGGCCGGGGGACATAAAAACAGGAGATGGTTTATGGACTCTTCAGGGTCCCCGCAACGAGGGCACCGCGAGTCCGATCCCAGGTGTCTGAAGGTTAGGTTCTGACAAGTGGCCACACATCCGGATAGTGATTGCCATAGGAAATGTTTCATTTTTCCGGGGGCGCGGATTTTCCATACATATCTTAGCAGTGGTGTGATACTTGGCTCTCTAACACCAACGGCTTCCTGTTCTAGTTTTGTCCTTCTAATTAGGTCATACCCCGATTTAACTGAGTAGATTCCTGATTTGGAATGATTCCATGCATATCCATCCAACATACGATTTCGGCTAGGTCTCAACCCGAGAATGAGGGAGACATCCTCAGGTTGGAAGAATTCATGTAAAAGGGGGATATTCCATTGTTTCGTATCTTGGCGTATGAAGGAGTAAACCAATAATCCTGGGTCTTGAAACCCGATCTGCAGGGAGGCTCTAGGTGGCCGAGCTCTAGTGTCTGGAATCCACGGTTCGCTCCAGACTCTCGTATTCAGACCCAATCCAATAGTCTTCCTGAGACCCATTTTGAGGAGCGGTTTCGCAGCCATAATGCTATACCATCCATAAGAAGGTGAGTAGACCTTTCGATCCTCCAATGGATCAGATTGTCTGTAATATCTGCCTCTTAACACCCGGGCCAAGAGGGAAGAGGGGTACTGGATAAGTCGCCATAGCTGCTTAGCTAGGAGGGCTAAATTAAAATCTTGAAGGTCTCTAAAGCCTAGCCCCCCCCAAATCTTGGGGTCTGGAAATCTTATCCCAGGCAATCCAGTGAATCCCGCCGCTATTCTGTTTTGAGCTCCACCAGAAATTTGCAATGGCACTCCGTAGCTTGTCAGTCACTCCTTGGGGTAATAGGAAGCATGACATGACATAGGTAGGTACAGCTTGAGCCACTGATTTTATTTGAATTTCTTTTCCACCTTTGGAAAGAAGTCTTGCAGACCAATTATTGACACGGTTACTTAGGCGATCATGAACGAAAGAGAACACCTTTCTCTTTGATCCACAGATTTGTTCTGGGAGACCCAGATACATACCCATGCCACCCTCCGCGGTTATACCAATGGCATTCTTTATACCTTGTTTTACCGTCGGATCCACTCGATTTCCGAACATAATGGAAGATTTGCCTAGATTGAGTTGTTGTCCCGTTGCCGATCCATATGAGTTAATAATCTTGAAGATCTCAATTCCATGTTGGATATCTGCTCGACAGAAGAAAAGGCTATCATCAGCGAAAAGCAGATGGGATACAGGGGGGCTTGCTTGAGCTATTTTCAACCCAGATATACGTTTTTCTTCTTCTGCTCCCTTGAGCAGAGATATGAGTGCTTCCGTGCATAGGATGAATAAGAAGGGTGAGAGGGGGTCTCCTTGACGGAGGCCTCTCGAAGGCTTAATATTTCCCCTGGGTTCGCCATTAATAAGGATCTGGTATGATACTGAGGAAATACAGAACATAAGGAGACGGACCCATCTCTCGGAATATCCTAGCTTAAGTAGCAGTGCCTCCATGAAACCCCATTCTACCCGGTCGTATGCTTTGCTCATGTCGGTCTTTATGGCCATGAATTCTTCTCTGCATGTTGTGTTAGTTCGAAGAGCATGAAAGTTTTCTTGTGCTAACAGAATATTGTCAGTTATCAGCCGTCTAGCCATGAAGGCCGATTGCGTTTCCGAGATAAGGCTCGGGAGAGTTCGTTTTAATCTCTTGCACATGAGTTTAGATATAATCTTATAACTCACATTGCAAAGACTGATCGGACGAAATTTCGACATTGCTCTTGGTTTGTTTTTCTTCGGGATCAGACAGATATTGGTTTGGTTAAGTCTAGGATCAAACGATCCTGAAGCGAAAAAATCTTTAACCAGTTTGATTATATCTTGGCGAATATAAGGCCAGAATTTTTGGTAGAATTTGCTCGTCATTCCATCAGGCCCAGGAGCTTTGTCTGGGTTAATGTCAAAAAGAGCTTCTCTAATCTCTGCTTCCGTTGGTTCCGTCAGAAGTAGTTGGTTTGAGTTAGCCGATACTTTCTCGGTAATAAACCGGAGTGAACCTTCCGGGTCCGAAGGTTGAGACGTGGAGAAGATATCTTGGAAGTAATGAATGGCCACCCGTTCTATACCTCTCTCATTATCCACCCAATGTCTGTTACTGTCTCTGAGGGAGACGATGCGGTTCCGAGCTCTCCTTTGTTTGGTAAGAGCATGGAAGAATTTTGTGTTCTTGTCTCCATATTTGTGCCATTTTTCGCGGCTTTTTTGTTGCCAAAAAATTTCTTCCTCACGGAGAGCTGCACAAAGTTTCCTTCTGATTTCTTCTATTTCTTCTAGAGTGGTATTATCATCATCGTTCGCCCTATCGAGTTCGTTTTTTAATTCTTCAATCATTTTTTCTGAGTTAGTTGGTAGAGATTTCTTCCACAAGGAGATTTTTTTCCGGCAATGTGCAACCCTTTGGTGGAAATCTCGGCGTGGGTTTACATCAAAGGGGCCCCACCCGGAGACAACTGCCTCTTTAAAACCTGGTTTCCCAATCCATCTTTTATCAAAACGAAAAGATTTCCTCTTTTTCCTGTTATTCAATTTGATCATTGCTAAGATCGGTCGATGATCCGACCCCCATAGTTTCATATACTCCACTGAAGTATGGGGAAATCTTGAAAGCCATTCTTCATTTCCCATAGCTCTATCCAGACGACATTTGACCTTGCCTGAGCGTCTTCTTCCCACCCAAGAAAAGGAGTTTCCTTTATATGGGAAGTCTAACATCCCACAATTGTCGATCATAGTCCGAAATGGAATAAAGGAGATTTCAGGTCTTCTTCGTCCTCCCCGTTTTTCATGATTTCCAGTTATTTCGTTGAAATCTCCTATCATAAACCAGGCTTCTTTCCTGTTTAGACTCATTCTTGTTAATCGCTCCCATACGTTCTCTCGGTTTTTAATAACCGGATCCCCATAGACAAAGGACATAAAAATCTTATGCCCGTCTAGACTTGTTTCAACATCTATTAAATGTTCATCAGAGTAAGAGATAAAAACCGAAGGTTCATCCATATAAAAAAGGGCAAGACCGCCGCTTCTACCTCTCGGTTCAACGGTAAAAACATGGTCATACCCAAAATACATTTGCATATCTTGCATAAAGTTCATCATCTTTTACTTCCAATTTCCTCGATTTAAAAAATTCAAAGCAATGGCACAAAACTTGTATAACAAACCTTATTAGGCAACATAAAATATCTTCCAAAAGTATTTAGTTTCAATAAACATCTTAAACATTATTAACTAGTTTAGGTCCCTTAAAACTATGAACAAAACGCATATAACATTATGCAATTGCTCCCTATCTTAAACTTTTCCCGAATCCTTTTTGACTTGTACATCAAAAAATTATCGGAAGGCACCACATCTTAATGACCCAAACCATGTTTTTTTTTTTCACAGTGTTTTTTTTACACTCTAATCCTTGTTTTTGCGAGATGTCCAAGAGCAAACACAAAAATGTGAAACCCAAAGTTCAACACAAACCAAAGTTCAGCCAATGAACTTTTGGGCGTAGACACTTATCCGAAATGGATTGTAACTCCAAGGGGAAACCAAATGCGACTGAATGTTCATGTTATGGAAAGTAAATTTCTGAAAAGAAAAAAAAAAAGAAATTCACCACAATATGTAATAACTTTGTAGTAACAGTAAGCTAAGATCAGAAGAAAAAAAATTCAATACTTTTGCTTCTAACGGTGTGCTAGAATATTGTAAATTAAGAATTAAACTAAAATACTATTATTGGGCCAAAATTGTCTTAATATTTAGGAGACTTAGAATCCATAATTTCAACGAGGCCTGATTTCAAAATTGAGAAAGCAAAATCCGAAAGCTAAGTAGAGAGAGAGAGAGAGGGAGGTGATTTTGAAATTAGATAACGCCGATTTTCTACTCTCCGGTTTTATCCGCCGGAGTTCCTCCTCTCACCGTCTCTTCTTCTCGCCGACAATACTTTTCTCCGCCGGTAACTTTTGCTTCTATTCTGCGGCAGTTCCCGATCTCTCGAATCGGTGTTCTTTGTGTTTTAGGTTTTCGTTTCTTATACTGAGAATCTGAGAAGACGTATTTGTGGCTCATCTAATTTCCTTTTTTTGTTTGGTCTAAATCATCATATAGCTCGATCGTTTTGCCGTAGTTTTTTAATGGCAATTTCTAACTTCTCAATGTACTTGTGTTTTTAATTTGTTCGTGTGTTATGATCGTGTTTTTGGTTGTTCATTTCTGATTCTCTGTTAAATTTTATCTTCTTCGTCAAATTCTCCTCGATCTGGTTCATCTATCTTGTTCAATGCTCGATTTTATTTCTTCAATTGTGTTATTCTGTTAAATACAAAATCAGCTCATTGTAATTTTTTAAGTCTTGTGTTGTATAATAAGCTCGTTAAAGCATATGATTTGAGTTTTTACTAATCACTTCACTTCTTATATCAATTGATGGTTTTATTTTTTGTTTTCAGTTCTTTAAGATGATTGGATCGTTTCTCACAAGAGGATTGGTGTAAGAAATCATACTTTTCTTATATTTGTTGCTAAAATGATAATGGATATGGTAATTACTATAGATTAGGTCTCCGTAATTTTCCTGCATTTGTTGCAGGATGGTGTTGGGTTATGCCTACCCTGCGTATGAATGCTACAAGACTGTTGAAAAGAATAGGCCTGAAATTGAGCAGCTTCGTTTTTGGTGCCAGTACTGGTATATTGTTTATCGCCTTTTCGTTCGTCTCCCGTTTGTTTATGCGTCGAAAATGACTGGCTTACTTTACATAACTATCAAATTACAGGATATTGGTTGCTTGCTTGACAGTTTTTGAGAGGGTTGGTGATGCGTTTGTTTCATGGTGGGCATTCTAATGAAATTTCGCTTGATTTGTCCAACTACGGCAATGTTATTTTGCGCTGTTTTTATGATTGTTTTGTCTTCATTTCTAAGGGTTCCAATGTACAGTGAAGCTAAGTTAGCATTTTTCATATACCTGTGGTATCCTAAAACCAGGGTAAGTGTGTGTTTGGTTGAAGGAGAAACACGAGTCTTTATGTGTACATGATCCTTTGTTTTTTATTGTTCAGGGCACTACATATGTCTACGAGTCCTTCTTTAGGCCATATCTCTCACAGCATGAGAATGACATAGACCATAGTTTGTTGGAGCTAAGGACTAGAGCTGGAGATATGGCGGTTATATACTGGCAACGAGTTGCAAGTTATGGTCAGACCAGAATCTTTGAGATTTTGCAGTATGTTGCTGCACAATCAACTCCAAGGTCGCAGCCACCTCAGGTAGAGTTAAACAATCCGCAACAAGTATCACCACTGCATCTTCTCTAGAGAATCAATCAATGCACCTGTGATACAAAAACTAAGTGACTTAGCTATTCATGTACCGTTATATTAATGTTCGTTTGTGATTCAGAAACGTGGAGGCAGAGCTAATCAGGTTCCTGCTAAGCCTAAGAAAGTCCCTAGCGCTAAACCAGAATCTGAAGAAACAGAGTTGCCCTCGTCGTCTAGCTCATCTTCAAGTGACAGTGAAGGTAATGAGGCTACTGGTAAAAAAGCAGGCGCTTCAAAACCTGCATCTGCACCAGCCACAGATACCAAAAACGCGAGTATCGCTCAGATAGTACAAAAATCAGTCTATTCCCCAATCACTAACCCAACAACCCAAGTGGAAGCGGAACCAATGCAGATAGAAGAAGTGGAAGCAGAAGCAGAATCGGAACCAGTGAACGAAAACACGAACCCTGAAGGTCCAAAGGAAACTGTGATGGAGCAGACAATCAGGATGACTCGTGGGAGGTTGAGGAAGACGCGGTCAGAAGAAACCCGTTGAAAAGAAGGTCCAAAAATTGTTAATTACTTTTATAACATTTGTCTCTCTCTCTTCTGCTTCTAGAATTACGTTGACATGAACTAATTCGTTAGTGTGAATGCTTGTATGAAAAGTGAATTTGCTTGCTTCTTTCCTTCTTTCTGCTCCTTGCGTTAAGTGTAGATATGACACTCTTTTGTTTTGTCTGTATTTCCTTATTTGTTAGAGTTGTTCGGTTAAAAAGGTACAACTACTTGAGAGTAGAAATGAAGCAAAGATCAGCCATAAATAAAAAAAGTGGTTAGGAAGCAGTTAAAAGCTCAATTTCACCGAATCATCATGTTCTCAAATGCCATTATTAAACGAGACTCAAATAGTTAAAAAAAAAAAAAACTGAGATTAGGTTGTTGGTACTAAAAACATCTTCAGGGGTAGATTGTTCAAACAAAAATCCACAATTTTAAGAATTATTTAAATATTGTATAATAATTGTCAACATAAATAATTAAATATAATGATAAACTTTTATAATAGTAGCAAACATACTTTAAACTAAAATAATACAAAACCAGTATTTACCAAAACTAAAACGCTTCAACATAGAGCACATCCTTGTTCAAAACAAAAAAAACATTGAGCACATCCTTACATACAGAAAAACATATATCACATATCTTCTTCTTCTTCTTCAAACATTTGAATTATATTTATAGTTTTCCTTATAAAAGTATACTTGCTCTAAGTAGGATGCTCTTCACCACCTCTCTCTTCTCACCGGCGTGAAGAGATGAAAATCCTCAGTTTTTCCGGCGACTGAAGATCCTCACCAGTCACCAATCAAGAATGAAGACCTCTCCCAGTGGGGAAGTACCGTTTTTTCTTTTTTTTTGTGAAGCTTAAAGATGGCAAAAATGATCCCAGATCTAGGATTTCCGACGGCTCCTTTGAATGCCTGGAGCTACACGGCGGCACTCAGTGCATATATCCGGCGTATCAGTTTGGGATCTCGCCGGACCCGTTCCCCCTCCATCTCCTCGTCGTTTCTTTGCTCATCTCCATGACAGACTCGAACAGACAGCCCAGCGATACCTGTGTAGCTCCTCCTTCCTTTAAAGATCTAGAACCGTTTTTTTTACAGATCTGAACTGCGCAGCCTTTAGATCTTGCTGTCCCTTCGCATCTCGTCTCAGATCTGCCTTATAAAACGCCCGATCTCTAAATTTCTCCAACTTTCAGACGACATCGGCGGCCTTATTTGTTGTGGCGGCGGAGACGATTCACCGGCGGCCAAAGGAAAAAGAAACTTGACCTAACCCGTTTTAGCTTTTTGGGTCAGCAATTTAATGGACCCCATTCAATTCTGGGCTAAGCCCAAGATTTAATATCGCTCGCTGGACCTTTATGGACTCTATAAAATCAACACATACAAGCTAAATTGCAGATACATCAAACTTTCAGATGTAGGCCTGACCCAACTGAGAGATGGAAAAATCAAAAAAGGAGAAATCTTCAAAAGCCCAAAAAACAAAACTCAAAAGGCCATTTGGAAGAGTTTCAGAAAAATCACGATTTAAATGGAATTTTCTAGCCTTGTGCTTTTGCCTTGTGCTAAGTTTTTCTAAAAATTTGAGCTTCAAGATCAACACAACTCTGCCTTAGTTGCAGTTTCTCTTACCAACTCAAGTCTTTATATAACATAAGTTTTTTCAGAAGATTTCTAGCCTAGTGCTAAATTTATATATTATCGATTTAGAGGTTCAAAGATCTATCATTTGGGAACCAACAAAATTTGCAATATGAATGTGATTGGATGGAATTGTCAGGGAGCCGGTTCTGATCTGACAAAAGATCATTTAGAAGAGCTTCACAAATGTTTCCAACCGAAGTTTCTATTTTTGTCGGAGACAAAAAATAATCGTTACTTTCTGCAAAACATGCAAGTTTACTTTGGATATGACCATGTTTTTACGGTTGAGCCAAGAGGCCAAAGTGGAGGATTAGCACTTTTTTATATGGATGAACCTTCGGTTTCTATTCTATATTCGGATAAGCATTTGATAGATGTAAAAACCACTCTAGACGGACACAAAATCTTTTTGACGTTCGTCTACGGAGATCCGGTTGTAAAAAACCGAGAGATTGTATGGGAACGTCTCACTCGGATGAGCCTTACTAGAAAAGATGCTTGGTTTATGATAGGAGATTTTAATGACATTACGGGTAACCACGAAAAACGGGGAGGGTGAAGAAGATCTGAGTATTCTTTTATCCCATTTCGAACCATGTTGGACAATTGTGGCATGCTAGAGTTTCCGTATAAAGGAAACTCATTCTCATGGGTTGGAAAAAGGCGTTCCGGTAAAGTTAAGTGTCGGCTTGATAGAGCTCTGGGTAATGAAGAATGTCAATCAAGATTTCTCCACACCTCTGTGGAGTATCTGAAATTATGGGGTTCAGACCACCGTCCGGTTCTAGCTATGATACGAGTAGATAACCAACGAAGGAAAAAATCGTTTAGGTTTGACTGGGTTGGAAAGCCGGGCTTCAAAGATGCAGTCATTTCTGGATGGGGCCCTTTCGATGGAATCTCATGTCGAGATTTCCACCAAAAAGTAGCAAACTGTCGTAAAAGCATCTCCATTTGGAAGAAATCTCTTCCAATTAATTCGGAGAAGATGATTGAGGAATTAAAGAATCAACTAGATGTAGCGCAAGACGATGAGAACACCACGACAGAAGAAATAGAAGAGATCAGGAGAAAACTCTGTGCAGCGCTTCGAGAGGAAGAAATCTATTGGCAACAAAAGAGTCGGGAGCGGTGGCACAAGGAGGGGGATAAGAATACCAAATTTTTCCATGCTCTAACCAAACAAAGGAGGAGCCGCAACCGCATTATCTCCTTAAAAGATAATAATGGAAATTTGGTGGAGAATGCGAAAGGTATTGAACGGATGGCGTCCAAATACTTCCAAGACCTTTTCACTTTGTCACAGCCTACAGATCCAGAAAATGCACTCCGGTATATTACCGAGAAAGTCACAAATACCTCTAACCAGCTCCTGCTTATGGATCCTTCAGAATCAGAGATTAAGGAAGCCCTATTCGATATCAACCCAGACAAAGCTCCCGGACTTGATGGGATGACGAGCAAATTTTACCAAAAATTCTGGCTTGACTTTCGCCATGATATAATTAAACTGGTCAGAGATTTCTTCGCTTCGGTATCCTTCGATCCTAGACTTAATCAAACTAACATATGTCTTATTCCTAAAAAAGAAAAGCCCAGAGCGATGACAGAATTTCGTCCGATTAGCCTGTGCAACGTAAGCTATAAAATTATATCTAAGCTTTTATGTAAGAGACTAAAGAAGACTTTGCCAAATTTAATTTCAGAAACTCAATCGACCTTCATGGCTAGATGTCTTATTACAGACAACATTCTGCTGGCACAAGAAAACTTTCACGCTCTCCGTACCAACTCCGTTTGTAGAGAAAACTTCATGGCCATCAAGACAGACATGAGCAAAACTTATGACCGGGTAGAATGGAGTTTCCTTGAAGCCCTTATGATCAAGCTAGTATTTTCAGAGAGATGGGTCAGACTCCTAATGTTCTGTATCTCCTCGGTCTCATATCAAATCCTTATAAATGGAGAACCGAAAGGAAAGATCATCCCATCCAGAGGATTACGGCAAGGAGATCCCCTATCCCCTTTCCTCTTTATCCTTTGTACTGAGGCTCTCATCTCGCTACTAAAAGGAGCAGAGGAGGAAAATCGCATTTCTGGGCTGAAAGTAGCCCAAGCAAGTGCACCGGTTTCTCATCTTCTCTTTGCTGATGATAGCCTCTCCTTCTGTAGAGCGGAAATTCAGCAGGGAGCCGAGATTTTCAGGATTATTGATACATATGGAGGGGCCTCGGGACAACAACTTAATTTGGGAAAATCCTCCATTATGTTCGGGAATAGAGTGGATCCGCTTTTAAAGCAAGGCATCAAGAATGCTATAGGAATATCATCAGAGGGCGGCATGGGGATGTACCTCGGCCTCCCAGAGCAGATCTGTGGATCAAAGAAGAAAGTCTTCTCCTATGTTCATGACCGCCTGAGCAATCGGGTCAATAATTGGTCTGCAAGACTTCTTTCCAAAGGTGGAAAAGAAATTTAAATCAAATACGTCATGTCATGTTTTCTATTTCCCCAAGGAGTGACGGACAAATTGTGGAGTGCCATTGCCAATTTCTGGTGGAGCTCAAAACAGAATAGTAGCGGAATACACTGGATTGCTTGGGATAAGATCTGTGTCCCTCAGGATATGGGAGGCCTCGGATTCCAAGACTTACAAGACTTTAACCTAGCCCTTCTAGCAAAACAGCTATGGCGCCTTATCCAATATCCCTCATCACTCTTGGCACGGGTCTTAAGGGGCAGATATTTTAACCGGTCCGACCCTCTGGAAGACCGGAACGTTTACTCACCATCCTATGGGTGGAGTATAATGGCCGCAAAACCGTTTTTGAGGATGGGACTGAGGAAGACAATTGGATCGGGCCTAAATACGAGAGTGTGGAGCGAACCGTGGATTCCTGACCTTAGAGCTCGGCCGCCTAGACCGGCCCCACATATCGGATTCCAAGAGCCGGGAATCCTGGTATACTCTTTCATCCACCGAGACACCAAACAGTGGGATGTTCCCTTGCTTAGAGAATTTTTCCATCCTGAGGATATTCCCCTTATCCTTGGGCTGAGACCTAGCCAGACCCGGACCTTGGATGGATATGCCTGGAATCATTCCAAATCGGGACTGTACCCAGTCAAGTCGGGATATGATCTAATTCGAAGAACGAAGATTGAACGAGAAGCTGGAACGTTTAGGGAACCAAGCATCACGGCCTTACAACGACATGTTTGGAGAGTTCGTTCACCTGGGAAGAAGAAACACTTTATGTGGCAATCTTTATCTGGGTGTGTGGCAACATGCCAGAACCTCACATACCGACATTTGGGTTCCGAAAAACGCTGCCCCCGCTGTGGGGATCCCGAGGAAACCATAAACCACCTACTGTTCTTATGTCCCCCGGCATTACAAGTCTGGGCGTTATCGGACTTTCCGTCCCTTCCGGGTGTCTTCCCGAGTACTTCTATTTATCAAAATATGAG